GGTCGTTTGAAAAATGCCAATGCGGCAAGGTGAAAACGTGACAACTCGGACTAATTCTGAGGATCGATCGATCGTTCGTCCCCTCTGGCAAATTCAATACGTTTCACACCAAATCAGAATACTACTTCTGCCATCAAGACGGCCAACCTGGAAACTCACAACGACCTCGATATCTTTGTCCAAGGATTCTATAAACCTCCGTTCCAGGTAAGAGTCTCAATGACTACATTATGCCTTCCGCTGCAAAGCCCCCTTATATGGGCCGGGATGACAATCTTGTGTTCTCGTTCCTTTTCCAAATCTGAATGCTGCAGCCATGAGGGGCCAGTAAGCTAATGTTGGGAGGCAGATGTCTCACAATCTTTCCATTGGAGAAGGTAAGCACATGCCTCACGGTGGGACATGGAGCAGACGCTCACATGGCCTCTACAACAGCCACTATCGAAGAAAATATGTGGGATACAGACAATTCTTGGAATTCCGAGCATTTCCTTAATAATACTATGATGCAATCAGAACCTTCTGGTTTACCACAAGCCAATCTGCCAACGACCTACCAAACAAGCACTGAAACGGCCTCGAGCCATTTCGCATACGCTCCCGGTATGGAGCCACGGAGCCAGGAGTCGAGCGGACCAGTGTTTCCTGCTAGAGATAACAACAAGTCATTAGGCTTGATGGTTCTTAGCAGAAGTAATTCAAGTCAAGATCCCGAAATCCAGCTCCGATCAGCATCACGCAAATCAAAAAATCGAAAGGTCGGTCGCCCAGCTTCTTCAAACAGCCAAGCACATGCCAGGAAGTGCCATAATCTAGTAGAGAAGCAATATCGCACCCGGCTTAAGGCTCAATTCGAGAATCTTCTCACAGTACTGCCTACGGCACAAGACCCCGATTACGTTGGCAAGGATGCTACAGGAAATCCTGGCCGTTACCTGAGCAGGGGGCAGGTCTTAGATGCTGCGAGGGAGCGTATTCTCAAGCTAGAAAATGAGGCTGAGTTATCAACCCTAAGATGTAACCGTTTGTTGAAGGATATTGCACGAATGGAGCGGACTTTGCTTGAGGAGAAGAACAGAGCTGCGTTGTCTTTTTGGTCAGCTTATTAGGTGAAAGAAAGATTGTAGCACTTGGCTTTTACATAACCTTGGGAGCTCTTTATTTACAATCTTACTATCAGCCTATGACCCTTTGGCAGCCTGACCTTACTTCCACGCATCCGTGGAACAGACACCAACAGAGCCACAAGGAATAGCAGAGTAGTTTGCAGGGGTTTGCTCAGCAGCAAGCCGACGAAGTACGGGTTGATGTTTCACGATTCTAAGACTTGTATCCGTCTGTAAGATCTGATAAGTTTCGTTAAATACGAATAAGCCATTAGGCCGTGTTGATCTATTCAGGTCTCCTCGTGCTGGCGATGGCTGCTCGATAAATGGCCAAGAAAACTTGTGGATTCGCGATTTTAGACATGGGGAGTCTGAGAAAGAAATGACCAACTTTGTCTCATAAGGTCAAAAGTAATCGAGAAAGAAAAGGGACCACGGGTGACTGATGACCGGTATCCGCGAAAGGAACTCTCTCCCACGCACCTTTTTATCTCAGTATGGCCGAGCCTGCTGCGCCGGGATCATTATCGAGCCATCAACTAAGACCCAATCACTTCTCACCTCAAACTAGTCCCTATACACTTGCAAGCTTCAACACCAGAAAAAGCTCGAACGATCTCGTCCGGGGCAAAGGATTGGGCTATAACTGCTATCGGAGCAATTACAGTGGTGCTTATAGCTGCAAAGGGTGATTTCCAACCTCGGTGAGGAACTATGTACGCCGACACCAATCCTGGAGGTCGACGAGTTGCCGGCACCTTGGATCTCTGAGACGCCAAACAGCCCGATTGAAACCGATTGAGGAAACTTCACAATCAGACATCATAAAGTCCCGAATCTCCAAATACCAGGGAAGCTCACTGACATCGATTTTGAATGCTATAGATTGGTTTGCGAAAGGAACCCAGGGAAATATACATCAGATTGCTTTATTGAGGTCAGAGGTGCAGATCCTTCAAAAGGAGAATGCGACACTCAATCGACGCTAAGGTGTCAAAGGCAAACATGTAAGAAAGGTAAGAGGTCTAACTTCAGGCCAGTGACAATATATACAAGGCCAGAATGCTACCGATGTGCAGCTAGAAGGAGAAAGTCACGGAAATGGGGTCTGCAAACAGAAGGCAGAAACAGAACAACGGCGATGGGGTGTCTGTGGTAAGATAAGACACAACGTGCGAAGGTGCCAGATAGAATTAAAGGTATCTAGGTAAGACAAAAACGATTGATTGCATTGCCTTGGATGCATTGTGGTTACTATTACCAGTTAGGAAGGACCTGGCTTATGATGAAGTGGTCGACTCGCGTATCCGGCCAACTCGCTTATTATACACGTTGTATTACTATGATAATAAGATTATTATAATATAGATACCGGCTTATTTATCTCATCTGCTATAGCCCCTTAATACTAGATGCTTTAGGCCGCTGAAGAAGGTATATGACTGGCAAATAAAGTAACTCTTTAGGTTCTCTATAACCTATCTATTGAAGGCTGAGTTCTTCCTGGCCTCTATGCCGCCTTCGAAGTCGCTATAATAAAGAGTAATATCCTAAGGGGTCTTTAGAGGAGCTTCACTTGCCCCTCTTAACCCGGAAAGTGTGATATTTAAGCCTGATATGCAGCTCTGAACTCTAACGCCGGCTAAGGAGGCCAGTCAGGCTCAACTTGGCACTTCGAAGACACCAAAGACAGCCCTCAAGGCTAAGTATCAGTCTGACTACCTTGAAAGACAAATCAGAAGACATCAAGTAGCTCCCCAGAGTCAATTAAAGAAGCACTTAAGTCTCTATTTGGAAGTTTGTTATGTTTTTAGAGTCGTTTCCATTTAGAAGATTGAGGCCTTTGTTGAATTTGCTTATAATATACGTTGCCTAATGAAGAGAAAAATAGTTTTAATGAACCCAAGGACTGCACTCTGGCGTCCTCTGGCACTCATGACGAGGTGACGGCTCGTATATTTACTTCTTCCCTGTAGCCTCGAGTCCTTCACCAATAGTTCTTATTTGAGTAATGCCTAGAGATGTGTCGACAGCCGTGTCGGGATCCCCAGATGGAGAGGGTGCGATTTAGAGTTAAGCTGACTCTTTCCTATTAGAGAAAAGAAACGAGGGACTAAAATATAGCAGCCATCAAGCTGGGCACTGCTTCTAGGAAGGCTCAAAAAAGAGCACCTGGCTCTTTACCAGCTCATTCAAGACCATTTCACAGCTCAAAAGGTCGATGCATTCCCCGCGAGTCCGTGTGCCTAGGTCTTGGTCAGATCCCGGACCTCCATGACACAGTGACTAAAGGCACTGTTCCACCGTCTTGGCTTGTCATGGCATTCCAAAATAAGCATTGGGTCTTTATCCCTGGCTCACCGTGGCGTATTATTATTATCTCTCTTAAGATGACATCTCCAATGGGCATGTTTAGTTGACAGAGCTCAAGAAACAAGTTACCTGTCAAGATGAAACGCAGAACGACACGGTTGTCACAGAGAGTGATCTCAAGGAGTCGAACACGCTGAATATGATCCCTGCCTTAATGACCTCGAGGGTCGTGAATTTCGCGGCAAGGGTGATTTTACGTCATAAGGTATCCCCTGGGAATTTGGGTCTAAACATAATGACCTCATGGCAGATAGGGTTAAGATAGGGTTAGAGTTAAGGTTAGAAATGATAGATATTATTGAAACCTAGAATGATGTTCAGGCGACCTCAACCCAACGGACGCTCGTGAAGTTAAGTGAGCAAGATCCTGCTCACAGTATACGTTACTCTTTAAAGTAGACAGTATATACCGAGTGATACTCGATAGAGGCCATGGGCCTACGATAACAGGATTTTACGGAGCAAAACACTAGTCTATGACGCAGCCTTCCTAATAAATCGTGACTTGACTGATAACTTGAGGGTATACAGAAGCCAGGATAGGGACTAGTTGCAATAGCCTCGATTTGATTACTTGCGACATAACTACTTTGCTTCCCGAGTAAAGTTCATATACGTGGCGGCTATAAGTATACCGCATGCTATTATTGTGCCGAAATGCCAAGTTCAGGCGGCCTTGCGAAATGCACCTTTCCATGCTTTTAATATATTTTAGCACGTCTACACTCTAACAGTAGATATTCTAAGCGTTATTATATGTCTCATTCTTCAGCACTTTCTAAGTATTAACACCGGGTACGTACATAAACAACTCATTGATGTAGTCCTCGCTTAGTTGAATATAGAACTGACATCACCCATTTGGAGACATATTAAGCTTCCTTAGCAGAACTGTGAAACGAGTGTGCCCCGACCTAATAGGCAATTTTGATCCAATGTTGGTCTAGGAAGTTTAACTGGCGTAGTAGGGCTACCAGTAGGTCTGTTCCTGAATATTTAAGACTTTCTTTCATGGTGAAGCTATAGAGACGTCTCTCTCGCTCCTTCACTTGCCTAAAGATTTAGCCCTAATTCGGTGTTTATGTTACCCTTTTAGTGTATCTCACGCGTGTCAGATAACGTTGCACCTTGCCTGGGATGAACGGCGGATCAAGATGCCAAGGCTCCTTCTGCCAACAATCTGTCACGTTACCCACCTGATATCATCTAACATCGCCCTGGCTCTTTTGACCAAAGTAAAGTACCAAGTCTCTAGCAGATCTAACGCTCAGGTTAACTTTACAACTATGAACTTGAACCGAAAGCGTCAGCGCTTCACAGTGGCACAATGGAATGTGTTTGATTCCGAATTGCATGCAGGCTGAAATGAAGATATCGGCATTTTACTTTCATCGCACCCATCAACGAATGAAATGGGCCGACGTATGCCTAAATCTGATTTACTAGCTGAATGAGTGATTTGTACACTGGTAGTACCCTGGTGAGAGATAGTTCATCTCGAAACACGTCCTAGTCTTTGCATCAGTATGCCTTCCAAGCCTTGAGTCGCGTCTCTAGCATGATCGTTTGGCTTCCTTCAGATCTGTGTTCCTTTACTAGCTCCAGGCTAATCCCGTCAAAGATACGCCTATACTCACTCAGAGATCTCTCCCTGCCATACATGACCAAGAGCATTATATCAAATAGATATACCATCTGCTGGTCTCCTACGGTTACTCGGTCGGGGACCAGCATCTCATTGATGATGAGCCGCGACTCGGGGCCCATGGCTGACACAGTGTTCTTCAGGACTTCCACGACCTTGGTATCGGGATAATCCATGAGAAGGTGATGGAATAAATAAATGTGGGCATCTAAGGTAAGATTGTTAGCATCTCGGACACAGAAAGTGCAGGCATCGAAATTACGTACTCTTGACGGGCTGTAGGGTAAAGATACTGCATGGCATTGGTTCAATGCTGGGAATCTCATCCAACGTCAGGGAGTCAAGCACAATGGGTAGGTCTTGTAGAATGAGCTTCCCGCCGAAGGAACCTTTGCAGTGTTCCTGTATTGCTAGGAGGGCCTGACCTCTGCCACCACCTACATCAACAACAAATGGGCTCCCAGGCTGCTTCTTAACCTTATCTTCAAGATCTTCGAAAGGAAACATTCCTATAACTGGGATATGATTGCCTAATTTCTGTATCCCGATATCCCATAGTGTGCGCTTTTGAGGGTCTAAATCGTAAACCTCGTAGTATGTTTTCCCCTCACAGCCAACCGAAAAGGCAAAAGGGGTCTTCTTGAGGTCGAATATTTCCTCTGGCTTGTGAGACTTTACGTAGTCTGGGAGGGCGGCCAAAGCCCTTGAAAACTCGACGAACATGCAGGTCATACTTCCAAACTCGGTAGGCAGAAACGAACGTGATAGAGCATTGGGTGACACATGCTTGGCTATGGCCTAGACTGAGTAAGTTTCTCAGGGAGACTGATATTGTCGTGACTGAAACCGGCTCGCCAAACTTTGGTACTTGGGACACCAAGTTCCCTTCGAGTATCACTGCGTTATCGCAACTCTTCTGGGGCAGTATTGGTTGGTCAGTTGGTGCCTCTCAAGGCGCAGCACTGGCCGCAAAGGATGCGGGGCAAACCAGAAGGACGATTTTGCTCATAGGCGATGGCTCTTTGCAGATGACAGTTTCTGAACTCACGACTATAATCCGCCACAAGCTCAAGGTTATCATGTTCGTGGTTTATTCTTCATTTCAAGAACTTGACTAACTGTATAAGCTTCTGTATTTGTAATGACGGTTACACTACAGAGAGATTGATTCATGGAATGGACGCTGAGTATAACGATATTGTCCGATGGAAATATAAGGATCTTGTGAGGGTCCTCGATGATGACGACCAGACAACCAGAAATTTTCAAGTCCATAGTAAGGGAGAGCTTAACGACCTCTTGAGAGACGAACAGTCTAACGATAGTTCGGGTGTGCAGTTTGTGGAGTTGTGTATGGACAAGAAAGATGCGCCTCGGGCGCTGTTGCTGGCTGCCAAAAAAATAGGAACAAAAGAAAGACCAAAAGATCTCGATTAGTTCTCTAAATTAACGAAGTTAGAACCTAAAAGAAAATGAACATAGGTACCATAATTGAACGATTTGTATCCTCTTTTTGGAGGATTGGTACCCGGTCTACCTAAATTGCGAAATATCCCCAGTAACACATAAGTGCCTAACATAAAAAAATCCAAGTCATGTACTGCAACACTTAGTTCGCCGTGGACACGGCATCCGTCTTAGCGTCATTTTTCGTCATCCCTTTCCTTACCACCTGGTACTCATGCGTCTGCTTATACTTCCATTTATTTCATGTCACTCGGCCTTGGGGTCGTGGCCATCTGCGAGATATCTGGGTGGCTAGTAAAGCTTCTCTGATGTAAGACAGCATGCAGAAATAGGCTCGGGAGGGGTAATGTTGAAATATGATACAACGAAAGGCTGAAGATCATCCCGGTTTTTGCCAGTCCTGCCGGTAGACATCGAAGAGAGACGTAGAGATATATCACGCAACGCTTCACATTTTAAGCCACATGTGAGTGGTATTCCAAAAGTCCTTTCTAATGATCCGATGAGCATCCTGCATGGTAATGGATACATCCCTATCCGAAACTTGTCGGGGTCGGTAAAAAGAGCCGATCATTGCCACAGTATAGAGGAGTTTGGGGCTGGGGAGGCTATGTGAAGGTCGGTTGTTGTAGGCATTACTTCAAAGGTGCCTGCAGTGCAATCTTTGACGGTGTTGCTATACATAGATAAGCGGAGAGTTTGCTGGTACTTTAGTTTTGGTGGGATGGGTCCAACGTCCATAGCCTAGGGTTTCCGGAAGGTCCCATGCCGCTATGCCGCCCTGCATGACATGGGGTTATGGGCCCCTCCTTGATCATCTCATTCATAGAAAAATGTCTGATATACAGATATTTCACGTCTCCTTTTGGCTATTTCCACTGTGTGAAAGGCAGTTGTAGTTCCCAGAACGTAGCCACTGGTACTAGATCAAGAGGGACGGCAGTTTTGACCAGAACGAAAAGGATGGTTACATTGGCGCCGTTCAAAATCATCAAGTATACCTACAACTAGGTTCTAGTTCTCCTTATCTACTAAATACCTGTAGCCTAGCTCTAACACAGCCGGGAGCCAGAGATTTATAATTAAGAACTTTCGCCCCAACGCTCTCAAACGGCGCAGAAACACCTCCAAGGCCATCAAAGTGTTCAGATTCTCACCATACTATGCGCTTCCCCAGTCCTTTATATAGGAATTGTAACTAACATCTACAGTCCAATAGGTTATCATGTCAGACGATACATTAACACGCAGTCTCCTCGTTACTGGTTCAAGTGGCTATATCGGCAATCATATTGTCTGCCAGGCTTTTCACAATGGATGGCAAGTTCGCGCCACTACCAGATCTGAAGCCGGTATTGCGAAACTCCAGACAACTTTTCCATATGCCTTTGAGCAGCTCAAGTTTGCAATAGTCCCGGACTTTACAAAACACGAGGCATACCATAGCATTCTCGCTGGCGTGACTGACATTGTCCATGCTGCATCACTCTTCAACCTTCAGCCGCAGGACAATGCTAAAGGTGTTCCTGAACCCGCCATACAAGGCTCTCTAGCTATTCTAGAAGCTGCAATCCGCTATGGGCCTCAAGTTCGCCAAGTAATTAACATCTCCTCTTTCGCTGCAATTGTCGACACGTCCAAGGGATTACGCCCTGGACACACATATTCAGAAAAAGACTGGAATCCTATGACTTACGATCAGGCGGTGGCAACGTCCAATGGTCCTGCTACATATTGTGCCTCAAAAAGCCTTGCGGAGAGAGCCATGTGGGACTGGATGGATGACAATAAGCTGAATGTGCCATTCACACTTTCAGTGATCAACCCCCGTGTGTTTTTGGCCCTTATTATGCTGACCCTGACCTGGGCACCTTATGCGATTCCGTGGCGGCACTTTGGTGTCTCTTCGGTGCCAAAACGGTACCACCTACTGACTTCGCGGGTTTTGTGGATGTTAGGGATGTTACAAAAGCGGTAATGTTGGCGCTTAACAATCCTGCGGCCGCAGGGCGACGTTTCCTGCTTGGAGCCAGTTTTGACTTGCAGACTGCTGCAGATATCATTCGTAAAAGGTTTATGGCGGCCCAAGAAAGGGTACCAGCAGGACGGCCCGGGTATGGGAAGTTAGAATCGGTCTATAATATTGACGGAAGGCAGGCACAGCAGGTTCTGGGATTAGCATACACAACGCTCGACACCACCCTGTACTCTACGGTTTGTCAGTTGCTGAAGGCCGAGGAGGCAGAGAAGGGATCATATTAGCCCTCCAAGACACCTATCAGAACTGTTTATCGGATACTACAGTATTAGCTCTTAAATACAAGTTGATTGCGCCCAGGCTTAGCATGGAACTGGATCGTCCAGGGGATGATCTCGATGAATTACCTCGCTCTAACACTTCCTGTTTAGAGTAGTAGATAAGGCGTAATAGTAACAAACTCAAACTTTCTAACCTCAAGCAAAACCATGACATAACATCTAACCAGAGGTCCAGGCGGACACGGGGAAACATAGATTAGAAGCAGGAGGAGCGCATGTAGTGAAGTGTAATTATCACTTAGACAACCATTCCCACAATCACTGTTGAGGCCTCCGTAATCATCACAGACGTGCTATTGGCATCCTCCCCTCACCCCTACCTTGGTACATCTCGTAGAAAGCCGGATCCACCCTAGACCAAACTCTGCCGACGCTGGAGTTAGCCGGTAGTAAGGAGCCAAAATATTTCGCCAGGTCACCTACAGCGTATTTGTTGATGACATGCTAGTCTAACTTCCTACCATCTGGTCAGGGTACCATTAGTAGGGGCACTTGGAACAGAATGCGCGACCTGGAGTTTAAACCGTATGCCACTGTTGATTTGTAAACGAACATGTGAGTTGACGCTCCCATCCACCATTAGAACCGGGCCGATAGGGAGGCTATGACTGCGCCGAGCTTGCTGCGACACCCGGCGTGCGGCATAGCTGGTTGATTTCCGTGACTCTACATATGCTGTCTCGGGTTGTTTCCGCTTGGAAATACGAGATAATGAGCAGATCATCTTCTCGTCATCTCATATGAATCACAAATGTCCGTTGCAACCACCAGGCACACTGACGTCATCTTATGCACGACATAATGTACCTCCTAGAATCCTCCTGCCCATCTTGATCAGGCTGAATTAGTTCGCTGTTCCTCAACCTAATCTACAGAAGGAGAAGTTATCACTCACACCATAAGACTTGCAACCCAACCTTGTGCATGAGATATCCTTGTATTACATGTGATGATATGATTGCTGCTCCCTACTTGTTCACAATATATCAAATAGGGCGGCAAGTTTCCTGTAATTCTACTATTTCCACGCAAATCATCTCGTTCTCATCGCCGTCAAACAACCACGCGCTAAATCAAAATCAAAGAAAATGGCTACTAACATAGTCAATCAGCCCTTGATTGAGATTTCCATTGCTACATCTCCTAATAACCTCGAGGCCGTCCCCGGCCTTCTGGCGGATCTTAAGGCAGGCGTTAGTGCGCTCTCTACCGGCAGCCGCGAGGCCCGCCACGATCTGCTCATCAAAGCTCGCACTTTGGTCCAGTCTTTGGAGACCCCCCGAGAGACTATGTTGAAGCATTGCTGGGCGCAGGTAAATTTCTTATCACTATGCGGGACGACAGGAATTAATTGTCATGCGAAGACTGGTGCCATGTCTGGTCTTATCTTCGGAGTTGACACCGGGCTGTGGAAGTTGATGGCCGAGAATGGTGAAAAGCCTCAGAAGGTCAGCGATCTGGCTACGAGCCTCGAGGTCGAGCCACTGCTTTTACGTAAGTGTAGATTCAATATCCCTCGGGCAACATTGATATAGATTTAGGCCGCATTATGCGCCACCTTGGTGCCATGGGTTACATCACAGAGACAGGATTCGACGAGTATATGCCTACTAATTATAGTAGAGCGATGAGCATTCCCATTATTAGCGATGGATATATTGCAATGTAAGTGTATTCCTTACAAAGCCTTCACTCGGCTACAAATACTCGAGTTAACATGTGGTGTCTGAAGGATATCTGGCACCAGCGCTGGGCCAATCAAGTTTCACGAATTTGCGCGTAAACACAGGTTCAGAAACCCCACTGATGCAAAAGATACAGGCTTAATGTATGCCTATAACGCGGATAAGGACTTTTTTGAGTGGCAGCGGTCTCTCGGTTATGACCAGTATTTTAACCATCACATGGGAGGATATCGTCAGGGGCGTCCACCGTGGATGGCACCTGGGTTCTACCCGGTACAAGAGAGACTCATTGCTGGCGCCGATACCCATTCGGATGCGCCATTTCTTGTGGATATAGCGGGCAATCTTGGCCATGACCTTATGGAATTTCACCGCTATCACCCTGATGCGCCGGGTCGATTAATCCTGCAGGACTTGGCCGTTGTCATTAGTAAGATTGAGGATTTAAGTCCAGCCATTATTCCCATGGCCTATGATTTCTACACAGAACAACCCGTCAAAAGTATAATCTCAAGGCACCCTACTCCAGCAGAAACACTTAATTACTAACACCTGGTCAGATGCCCGCGCATACTATATGCATACTACTCTGCATGACTGGCCTGATGAACTTTGTGTGAGAATCCTCTCCCGAGTCACTGAAGCTATGAAGCCGGGTTACAGTAGACTTTTAATCAACGAGAATGTTATGCCTCCATTTGGCGCTCACTGGGAGACAACTGCAATGGATATGCAGATGCTTAGTCTCCTCAGTACGATGGAGCGCACTAGGGCCGACTGGTACCACCTATTAGAAGATTTAGCCGGATTGAAGATAGTGCAAATTTGGAGCGGCGGCAGTGGTGTTGAGAGCCTGATTGAGTGTGAGCTACCCTATCACAATCATGACTAAGTGCAAGGAGGATCAGGTGTTGTCGTTTCTAGCTATTCTCAGTAACACATTCACTTTCAAGCTTGGATTTATATACCTTGACTGACCAGAGTGATAACCCTTTGCTATTCTTTCAGGCTCAAGCTGAGATAGTTTTATACTGCATTCATCGCCCAAGTCGGAAAGAGCAAGTCCGCTGGTGTGTTCACCAATAGTGCAATGTATAGGCGTCAACTAACTGGCCATGAGTAAAAGTCTCGCTGGTGGTTGTCTCTGATAAAACCAAAGAATAATCTTGGTAGGTGGGCGATTACAGAGGACAATGGACTCACCATATGCCGTTTACCTGTTCATACTGGCCTCCTCTAGCATAATATTGCCTCTGTGGGACCCTTAAATTGCCAAGCGCTGTGAGAATTACCTGGCATAAGTAATGAGGGATTAATAGTAAGTATGATTTATTCCATCACCACGTTATCTCTTCAGACAATTTGCTATTGTTAGTAGGCCGAATGTAAGCGACAACGGTATCCAGAATGAAGCTTATTTCCGGAGACTTAAAGGCATGAAAAGCTCGATATCATACATGTTCCCTAACTAAACGAGAAGAGTGATTGCCTGGACTGCGGGCCATACTCATCTCTTGGTTATTAATGGACTGGACCAAAGCCTTTGCTTGGCAATGAGAAAGATCACCAAGCGGAGTGGAACGATATCGCCAACGTGCCCGACTGAGGTCGGCGTTTCTCGGAGTGATATTTGACGGTCCGACTAAAATTGTATCTGTCCTGGACCTCACATTAAGCCCTTACAAACGGCTGATCAAAGTTTATTCACGTCTATCACAAGCTCATGGGGGCTGTAACGTAGTTGTATCTATCCGATTTATCACAACAAACTCTCTCGACATTCGTGTCCCGTGCGTAGGCGCGAACTCATTCCACATCTTTACAGAAAGCCGGCGATAAGTTTTAGATAGGTAGAGAAGAATATACGAGTCAATCAGTCGCCTTTAGGCACGATTGAGACAAGAAAAGGTAAGACGAATAAATGCACCATGTTACCAAATAGTTCAAGGGTAAAAATGGGGAGGTTTACAAGGCCACTTATTATTCTAAGTGAGGTTTCTGCGGATAAACCGGTAAAAATATCTAGATTAATAAGAGGGCATGAGTTATTCCTCCACTTTTTACTCTTTTCCTTGTACTCTTTCCTCGCCACGTTTCCCTTTCTACTATTTTCTCTTTACACACTTCTCACTGCTCTTTCCTCTCTACTACTTTGTACCTTTGCTCCTTCCTATTTCGCTGCATTCTTTGCGTTTATTAAGGATTCTACTTCCTTCCCTGTCTTAGTTCTTAAGTGCTGTCCTATCCAGTTGATCTAACTTATCGCTAAGAAATACATCCATCGGAGCAAGTGGTACCATAACACGTACCGTCGAGATTAGGGCTGCAATGAATATTCTAACTCGATGACCACTGGGGTGGCGATAAGAGCGTAATGAATTTGGCAGCTGATAGCGAGGCAGATTGTCACATGTCAGTTAGCATACGACAGGTCAAAAATACATTCTATATAACCTGATTATGGATAGCACGGATGGTAAATCTTTGGTACCTAGTCGAAGCTTAGTAGTCAGGCTCGAATAGGAAGCAGGCACTCACTAACCTAAGTACTGAGCTCTGTGAGTGAAAACTGTCGTTACAGTGATGTGGGAGCATGACGATCATCTTACTTCCGCCAACTCTGGTTAACCCACCTGTTTTCACTCTTGTTGAGGGCTTGCCCATTATGACTCAACCTGTATGACTCAACCTCACATCATCACCGCGGCAGCGGCAGCATACCTAAGGGTGTCTTATCTTGATTTCGAATATGACAATCAACTCGGATCTACATTAGGTAGCTGTCATGGGGGGTAGATCTATCTGAACACTTGCTGCTACATGTGAAAGCCAAGTAATTAGTAAATTTGTTCATTCCCGGAACGGTACTGAAAATCAGGTTGTCTAGCAGAGTGCAACCTGCGCACTGACTCCACTTTTGTCACAGAGTTTCCATCGAACTGAAAGCAGCAGGACAGTGACGACCTGGTCAATTCCGTAGCTGTAGTTTTTTGTGGTTCTGTTCAGAAAGGGACCCGGCCATGGCGTGATATTTCCCTCTTTTGAGCCACACCGCAGAAATTCTTAAACGAATGGGCTCTGCAGATAGCTAAAAGAAATGGCTCGGGTAGTGATCCGGAGGCAAATATTAACATGATTTACACGATAACAAACCTAACGCGTCTTCAGGATAGGCTCTGTAGAAACTTTGGTGGCTGTCAAGGAGACTTCCCGAGCACCTTTGGTACATAGTATCTCACACCACGGAGTAACTTTATACATTCTGTGTGCATGCTAGCAGCTGCTTGTCACCATGAGGTTGCACATCTTAGACTTTTCATTACCCACATTCATTGAAGTGGGTCCATGGCCATTTGTGTCGGTTGGCTTATACGATTTATCTGAAAGTCTGGTTGTATCGACGATTTTGAAATACTAAAGCTGCGTCCTATAAAGTTCACATCTTCTGCTTTGTTCAGATCTTTGCCAGTCCTCAGAACACCGCTTTCTTCACCATCATATATTCTAAGAACAAAAAGATTCCCTCAAGAATGACTAACCAGCCGCTATCGATGCCATTCCACCATGTGGATGGTGCAAGTCAGAAAAAGATTCCAGACATGGCACAGAACAAAACCGTCCACACTGACCAGGCCCTAAACACCTGGATCAAAATTCAACAACTTAGAGATGGCGGGAAGGTCCTTTTAGACGGATCAGAACTTGATATCGCCAGCGTTATTGCCGTTGCTAGGTAAAAACCCTTACTCATCAAATAAGAGAACCAACATTTACACGTTTATCAGATACAATTGCCACGCGTACATCAACATGAGAGAAAGCCTTGTGCAAGGCATGGATGGAAGTGTAAAGCTTCTTGACGAATACCTGTGTAAAGGATATTCTGTCTATGGTATGGTACCCTGCATGATTACTGTCTATGACACGACTCTGAGACTAATATGCTGACAGGCGTGAACACCGGCTTCGGAGGCAGTGCCGACTCACGTACAGAGGATTTTAGCAGTCTACAGACTGCTTTATTACAGCATCAACAAGCAGGAATTTTGACTGAGGTAGATCAGATGCTTACGGCTCCAAACCAGGATATCGGTTTTCACAGCATGCCCGTGACCTGGGTGAGGGCTACAATGCTCGTTCGATGCAATCATGCGTTACGAGGCCATTCCGGCGTTCGCTTGAATTTGATTGAGGCAATTCTTCAGCTTCTCCGGACGGGGATAACCCCAGTGGTGCCCCTTCGAGGTTCTATCTCAGCCTCTGGCGATTTAATGCCACTTTCCTATATTGCTGGGGTACTGGAAGGCAATTCAGATATCCTCGTTTGCATTACCATTGGCGAGAATATACAGGTTGTTACCGCTCAGGAAGCACTTCCTAAGGCTAGCCTTGAGCCCTTCATTCTAGGCCCAAAAGAAGGCCTTGCCTTGATCAACGGCACGGCAGCGTCTACTGCAGTCGGTTGCCTCGCAGCACACGACTCAAACCAACTGGTCCTCCTTGCTCAGATGCTGGTCGCAATGTCATGCGAAGCTCTGATCGGGAATGCAGAAAGCTATCACCCTTTCATTGCCGCAGTGCAACCGCACCCTGGACAGGTTGAGTGTGCAAGTAATATTCTACGTTTCCTCCATGGCTCATCTTTGGCACAAATGCTAGAACAAGATAACAAGTACAAGACTGGCCTTGTTCAAGATCGATACTCTCTTCGAGGAACTCCACAGTGGTTAGGTCCTCAACTAGAAGAGTTATCCACTATTTTATCACAGCTGACTACGGAGCTCAACTCAACATCGGATAACCCAATTATAAATACCGAAGCTGGGGCGGTCTACTCTGGTGCAAACTTCATTGCAGCATCTATATCCTCCGCTATGGAGAAAAATCGACTGTCGTTACAAATGATAGGTAAACTGCTCTTTAGCCTATCCTCCGAGTTAATCAACCCAACTCTTAACAAGGGCTTACCTCCTAACCTAGTGGTCGATGACCCTAGCCTATCCTTTACAATGAAGGGCATAGATATCAGCATGGCTGCCTATATGTCCGAGCTAGCCTACGTCACTAACCCAGTAACTTCCCATATACAATCAGCAGAAATGCATAATCAGTCTATCAACTCACTCGCATTAATCTCTGCCCGATATACAATGCAAGCTACTGAGCTTGTCGCTCTTATGTGTGCCGCTCACTTATATGTGGTTTGCCAAGCTTTGGACTTGCGAGTGCTCCACATTACCTACCTTCATAAATTGAAGGAAGGGCTGCGATTAATCATTCAAGATCTATTCCAGAAAGTTCCGACAGAGCACCAGGACGCCTTCGAACACGACCTTTATAAGACTATTTCGGATTCTTGGAACGCTTCCACACGATTGGATCTCAATGAAAGGTGTCTTTCCCTTGCAGATGTTTCTTTACCTGTCCTTATCAACCATTCTCGCAAGTTCAGATCAGTTCTTGCAACAGATGCTTTGGATAGTTTCCGGGAGAGTATTCGAAAATTAGCACAATCAACTTTCATCGCCACGCGGGAGCAATTCGTCCTTAAACAAAATACTTCTTTGTTTCTAGGAAGCGCGTCAAAGAGGTTATATTCCTTTATCAGGAATGAACTTGGAGTGCCTTTGCACCAAGGTCTCTCTGATCATCCGGGCCAAAGGCCAGGCCCTAGCATCAGTGGACGGTCAAGGAAGACAATTGGCTCGTGGGTATCGATCATTTACAAAGCCATCCGCGACGGAAGAATGTGGGGGCCCATGGTCGACATTCTGCAGGCAAAAGCTAGTGCTCAACCGTAGTGCTGCTTAAAAGGACTTCAAATGGCATATAAAGTCTGCTTTCTATCTGATACATGGTGTACAAAGAAATGGTGAGAGAATGTTAGTACCCTGTTAATTTCAATTATACAAATTCATTGTAAGCAATACGAGGAATGAATCAGGTACAACTGCCGTGACGATTCTGTTCTGGTTCAGGAAGGGTGTAAGGTAGGGGAAACTGTAGGATAAAGAATTGGCAATTGATAAGGACGTATCAAGAATTGATAGGGGCGCATCGTCCTTAGCGGCGCTCCAGCTCTACAGCCTCTGATTCATTAATCACTTTTATTAGCGCAGGCAGGATTCTGCCGACGCTACCGAAATACCCGATCTTAGGTCTCTTTAGTCTAAATGAGCAGATGATCTGACATCAGTCTCTCAACCATCAATCATTAGGTCTCTCGCCATGCTCCATTTGGAGTCGCTTCCTAGCTCAGGGAGCGCTTCAAGACGTCACACCCCAAGCCCCAGTCCCAGTTGCGAATCGCGTTCTCAAAAACGACAGCGGCAGAGCTATAGTTATTAAAAGAGCTAGCTTTATTACCTTTATGGTAAAGTATTCGTCTGTCTTGAAAAGTTGGGTCAATCGGATGTTATAAAAGCTGGAGCGTCCCTGAGGATGATGCGCCCCTATCAATTGCCAAAGATTTATAAGCGCCATCTCGTTCATTACAAGATGTTCCCTTTCCTAAGCCGCATTATATAGTCAACATGCTAGCTATCCTATCTAAATCACCTTGGATCTTTTATATTTTCTTATCTAACAGCTTAGTTTTCCCTCGTCGGTGCAATTTGTATTACTTCTTCCAATCTGTCGCTGAGAGATATGATAATGTAAAGGCATATTAAAAACTGTAAGTAACTGAATTCGCTTTGACACGTAGTTCAGCCGAATGATTGTAATTAGCGTAATATCTACTCAGTTAGAAATTCGCAATAATGGCATCAGAAGATGTTTGGTTCAGTAATGAAGACAAGGGACCGGGTTAGTTCTGCGAGGGGTTTATTGCTGCTAAGCGCTTAGGAGATACCTAGCTTAACTATTCAAAGGCATTATTATGCATGCTTAACAATTGCGTCTTTAGTCTGGATGATACTGTGTAGTGGGATGTGATGCAGAGGCTGGCTCTCATACTGTTCAAATGACGGCATAATGCAAGCACAGGAAACACAAACGCCACAAATGATATCATATGGCCGCTGTCCTATAATGGCGATGTTAGCCTGTATCTTAGATAACCCCACTGTGATGATAGGAAGTGTTTGTTAGTGGGTATATCTGTAGTAGATCACAGTTACGCGTTGTATGTTTCCACTAATTGGATTACCAAGTCGCCCACAATTCTGGATGGGATTAAGCTTGATTGCCTTTAAGAGGCTCATAGTTGTGTTAAGTTTGTTCTGCTCTGTTTTTTTCTTATTCTCCAGTGTACATGTCGATCACCAGCTCTTTGCTATATAGACCTGGGCTGCGTCTGGAATACACATTGTCAATCCTCTCCTTCCGAAGAACCAAAGCCGAACTTTTCCCAACGCCTGAGTACTGTTTCTTGAAGCTGGGGCGGGAAAGAGTTCTCAAAATCTGCTGCCTCCCAATTCTTACCTGTTGTATACTCAACAGGTAATAAGCAGTCAGAGACTACTTTACCACCTCGACCACTGCTTCCATTGCCGTGAGACATGAATGGGATTAACGGGAAACCTGCAACATCTTCAAAGAAGTACTCATCCATCCCTGGGCGACAACGTGTACAAAATGCCCAAATAACGTCTTTAAAATTATAGACATCGATATCATCCCCAACTAGAATGAGTCGATGTATGGTGTAGCCAACCTTGTCATTAAAAACTAGAGTCCCAATCCTTCGGCAGAACTCTCCGGGACTTATCTTTAGGGTTTGAAGCTTCCCAACATCAACTTGAAGAGCAACCTATGTGACTTGTGATTCAAATGGGGAAAACGCTTCTTTGATAGGTAATCCCTGAGACTTAAGAAGATAACCGATCTCTGCGGCAGCCAGTGGGCCAATCATAGTGTGCTATTCTATTCAGCTTCTTGCCATCAACTTGAGAAGTGTGGAACTCACGGTCTCATCCGTTAGCCTACCACAATTGGACACCGGCAGGATAGCATGTTGTCGATGCGTGATTAGCTCAACCTTAAACATAGGCGAACTATGCCCTTCACCAGGGAAGACATATCTGTGGAAGTATTAGAGAATTACTCGACCCAATCTCCTTGCCAATGGGAACATACCCGTGCATCTCACCGAAGGGGCCTTCGGGCGCTGTCTCAGTGATAGAGCACGACCCCTCGAAAACAATTTCTGAGTTTGCAGGGACATGTAGTTCATTGGTTTCGCACTTGACGACCTTTAGAGGCAAACCAACTAATGAACCGACATACTCAGCCTCTGAACACCCTCCGGGCAGAGGCATACTTGCTGCCATGATAGCTGCAGGAGGAACGCCAAATGCCAGCGCCCAAGGCATATCTTTTCCCTCCTTCTTCCACATTTGGTGGATTTGCCATAAGTGCTGCGGTTCAATTATGAGACCACATAAATGATTTTGATCATGTACCATGGCTCGGGCAATAGACCAGTTGGTCCACTTTCCATCAGGGGACTGTACCACGTGCATACCATATGTTTGAATGTATTTTCCACCATCAGCTTCGTGAAGCAGTGGAGCAGGGAGTTTGGTGAGATCAAATTGCCCGAGTCTGAGGTAACACTCCTTGCAAGGACCCGTTTCGGCAACCTGGGGAGGGATAGGAGCTGCTGCCTTAGCAGATATCATCTTGCCAAGTATATCCCTCATGGAAGACGTTGGTGGTAGGCCAAGGTGCCTAGCTAGTCGTCCAAACCTCTGCTTAGGATCGGCACGCAAGGAATTAGGTGCACCAAGAATTCGCCAGAAACCATTTTTGTCCTGTCCCTTCAGTTTATTGAATAGTGGTGCCCTCTCATCACTTTCAACAACCTTTCGGATGATTGCACCAACTTCTAGATTAGGATCACATTCTTCATTGATCTCCACGATATCGCCATCAGCTTTTAGAGCTTCAACGTATGAGCGGAAGTCTAGGTGAGGGAGGTTTTGTGCTGGCATTGTGGAATATTAAGATTGAGGGTAAATGGCATGGGGGTATTGAGCAGGAATGCGTATCGTTGATTCATCTTGGTGTGGACAAGTTTGGTGGTTTATATATGCCCGGTAGTTGTTGATAGGGTTGTTAGCTACCCTGATGTTGCCTAAGGAACACGGAAGACTCCGAGCAAGTGTAAGACACATCAAACGATGTCAACCTCGGAAATTCACCGAGAGTCACAATGCCAATGACCCAGGACTTTTTACCTCCACGACTTGAGGTCCAGCATTTCCACGTACACCCTCCAGTATATCTTCGTAGTCGGGGTGATCATTACCCTATACGAATAGATTTTTCGGGTGGTTAAACCTACGGCGGGATGTGTTAATAACAAAATCGGTCTCCATAGCTTGCTGTTACTTTCAATAAGTTCGTTCTTGTTGACACTCTCAGAGGTGCCTGGGGTTATTTACGAAGAGTAGGTCACGTTCAACGTTACAAAATTGTTTTCCGCTGCTAGACAATTTAGAATAGGGACAAGAAGACTAGACTAAGTATAAATAGAACTGACCCATACTCATTCAGGATGAATCTTTGGATACCCCATTGCTTGTTAACACTCTCACACCACTAAAATCCTTCTCCGTGTATGATAAATCATTACTGGGCGATTTCATTCGGCATTCCTTCCCAACTTGTTACAGAATGTATCGAACTTCTACTCCTAGACGAAGAATCATCATCGCCATCACGGGGGCTACTGGCGCCCAGATTGGGATTCAAGTCCTCCAAACCCTTAGAAAGCTTCATGTTGAGACGCACCTGATAATCAGCAAGTGGGCTGCCGAAACCATCAGGTATGAGACAGATTACTCACCTGCTGCTGTGCGCGCCCTTGCAGATCACGTATATAACTCACATGATCTTTCTGCTCCAATTGCGAGCGGTTCCTATCAAACCGATGGCATGATCATAGTGCCTTGCTCAGTCAAGACTTTAGCAGCAATCAACTCAGGCATTTGTGACGACCTTATTACAAGGGCGGCAGATGTCTGTCTCAAAGAGCGCAGACGGCTTATTCTATCAGTCCGAGAAACACCACTGAGTGACATACACCTCAGAAACATGCTGGATGTCAGTAGGGCTGGGGCAATTATTGCACCACCAATGGTGGGGCTTTACTCGAGGCCAGGTTCTATCGAAGATATATTAAACCACATTGTTGGAAGAATGATTGATCTCTTGGGGCTGGACTCTGGGAACTTTGAAAGATGGGAAGGGATGCAGAAGACTCTCCCATGACGATTTTAGCTAACGAAGTTGAAACATCTTACTCTCATATTTGCGGGTAATCTGGAGCAACCTACTACTGAAAATACTAATGAAGCCCGATTGATCTTGACAAGAGCAGGATCTATTGTAGAGTCTCGTTCTTGCTGTTAACTTTTGTCAACACCTGTTGTCTATGGCCTGATTTTACTTATGAAGATATGGCCAGGATGACACAAAGTCGTCGTTAAAGACGGTGATTCTATATTCTCTGGACTCATTTTGGTGATATTTCAGAGCCAGAAGGCATGCAATCAGGATCATTCCCACGGCAGTGGTATCATATTGGGCCACGGTCGAGTCGTACTAAAGATTAGGTTGTTACGGTCATGATTCACATGGACTAGGCGGTAAAACAAGGTAAAGGCGTGGGATCCCGTAAATGCAAGTGTACCCACTTGACCCGACCTGTTTGGGAAATTCCTAGAGAGACGCATTGGGGCCTGACCCTTTCCCCTTCGTATCGACTCAACTGAGACCCACAAAACCTATCATATCATCGGGTCGACGGACATGATATGATTGTATTGTGGTGGATGAATGTAGTATTACATGCGGGGTTACAGTATTGAGCACTTGCACCTTCAAGTGGAGATAACCTGGCAGTGCGAGTCGTAAGTACTATCGCTGAATCCTGTCAAGTAAGTATGCTAGTTTGCGGGGCTACTAGTCATATATGAAAGCGTACATAGTGTGCATATATACTTATGGCGATAGGTGGGGCTTTTTCTTTTAATCAACAAGGGTTATTGCAGGAGAGGAAGGTGCAAGTGCTCAAGACTGTATTACAAGGCAATGAGCTCGATTGCAAGGGCAATGGAATGGGTCTGTGCGTCAGTTGTCAGCTGTCAGTTATTACATGACCTGACACTAAAAGTAAAGCCTGCGTAGCTGAACGGCCGGAATAGGCAGCCAGCCACGCATCAACTTGTAGCATGAGATTCTTTTAGTCCAGATCGGTCTGTTCCGGTATAGATCATCAAGCGGCCGGTGAAGGGGCCACACTAGCTCCCTTGCACAAGGACGCCTTGGCCTCTTTCGGGAAATGAGTCGATGAATGTTGACTGCACATCACTGTCTGAATTTTGGGGAGTGACGAACAGACTCTGTTCACAATGCTGAGGGTAGGAAGCCTCGCCGTGTCGTCTTTGGGATCGCTGAGTAGTGCGTCAATGGCACAGGCCGATTTTCAGTTGCGCAAGAGGCTGCCTTGAGCCAGCCTCTACAAAGAATGACAGGGAACGAGTGACAGCAATAATGGGCCAGAGAGTGGGGTCGGGAAACAAGAGCAGCGTGTCCGCGTTTATTACGTTTTTATGACGATCACAAGCTAGCGAAACATTGATCATACTAGGGTGCGTCCCGCTCCCTCAGGCCGTGTGGGACTCAGCCGAGAAAATCTCCGACTCAGTGTTGCACCTCCTCACATCACGTTCCGGTGCCTGAAGAAAGTTGTTAGCGCAGAGCCCTTGCATCAAAACTTATCCACAGCGGGAAAGCCCGCATCGTCTACGACAACGCCGTTTAGCTTTCTGGGCTTAGCCTGTTGCTCTATCCTGACTTATTAATAAATATACTCGGCCGCGGTATCAATTCTAGCGCAAGTTAAGAAAGATCAAGCTAATTCTGACTTTGGCCAGAACGGCTATATTGAGTTCGCTGAGCTTTTCAACCAGGCTGGCGAGCTCCACGAACGGACTGGTAGAACAAAAGCAAAAAAGAGAACGCAAGAACCCGCTAGTGCAGGCACTCTACAGCTGAACTTTCTGATACATGAAATTTGGCAGTGATCTTCATTCGCTTCGTTCCATGTCCTAAGGCAAGGGATGGCCTTGTGCCTGGATCTCATAGGCTGGACATGCGGTTGTTGATTCATGGAGCATTTGTTGTCAAGGGCAGAATAACCGAGTTCAATGTTGCTAAATCATAATAGATAATGCAAGCACTACCAACACAGCATGCGACATGCAACCCTTGAACTCATATCATCGCACCGTGGAGCGTCTTCTCCCACTTGCCTCATCAGAAGAACCAACACTGTCTCTCCCAAAGACCATAGCCTCAAGTATCACATTGCTCTGGACTTTCTTTATCGTACCCATGGCCCTTGGTCCCCTTCAACGTGCAGCATCGGCTAGCATCGAGGACCTATCCGTGAGACTTGCAGCATGGGTGTCTAAGAATTGCAGAAATCTACCGTCCAAATTATTCCATATGCCTCAGTCCTAACGGGCAAGAGATCCTTGTGACTGGATCACTATATAATAGAGGTCTCTTGAGCTTTGGATGGTCCTTTTCAACCTTGGAAGCCAACGTTGAGTAATCTCATCCTCTTCTCAGAGGCAACTCGAGACATTTTTCTTACTTCCTTCCGTCGCCTTCCGCCCTTCGACTTCATCATAATGCAGTCTGAGATGAATCTGGGACCTTACGTGGACAATAAGGTCAACATGTCTAGTCAAGCCATGTCCTACTCATCAACCGCGACGAGTCTTTCCCTTGCTGCGTCAGTTTGTGACCCAGAACCAAGCCTCCCTGAGTCCAGCTATATATTATTTGATAGCCCTTCAACTGATGGCTCTTACTGCTTCGATCTAACTCCGTTGTCTTCGGTAGCAGATACGCTTGAGTCTATTCCCATCGAAGCTGAGTCTGAGCACATGCCATGCTCTGATTCTTTACTCGACACTCGAATCAAACAAGAGCCTTTTGGTGTCGTTGAAGGGAACAATATAGGTTCCACGATGGGTTTTCATGCATCAATTGGATCATTGGTGCAGGCAAACAAATTTTCGATGCCAAGATGTTCCTTCAAGGCAGTCTATGAAGCCGCCTCTTTCAACAGTCTTTCAACTGAGAGCACCATTGCCTTTGAGACTGATTTGAATGCCTCTACATTGCCTTTCGACCATAATAGCCCAATCCTTCCATTCTGTCATAGAAAGGCTACGGAACTGCAACGATCCCCAATCCGACCATCAACGAAGGGGCCAGTCAAGCCCGATCCTTCACAAGTCGACGTTGTTCGAAGAGCCATGTGCAAGTGCGACTACCCTGGCTGCCACAAGGCATTCCGGCGCAGTGAGCACCTCAGGCGTCACAAACAAACGTGAGTATAACGGCAATATTCTTAGCAAGATGCTGGTAGCTGACAGTTCGTAGCTTCCACGGCGAGGGACCCAACCGCTTCTCCTGCGAATTCTGTGGAAAAAGCCAATTCAACCGACAAGATAACCTGAACAACCACCGCAAGCTGCACGCACAACCGAACAGGCGCGATAGCTGCGTAGAATTCATTCCTGCTGCTGTTCCCGTCATTGCACAAGAGAAGAGGTGCAGAAAACGACGAGCACCTTCCAATAAAAAAGGAATTGAGGGGAAGGCAGCATCTAGTAACCAGTCAGCATCATGAACACAAATGATCTAATGGAAATAAATTCTAGGCAGAATGCATTCCTTGTTATCTTTTTAACATGTCCTTGCGTTGTGTTACTCGACCAATGTGAAGACATAACGTCAAATTAGTCCAAAATGGTCTGGTGTATTTTTAACCTGTCCTTGTATTATAGTTCTAGCTTCTACCTCACCGTGCGTCTTCTCCTATGCTCGTAAATTCCGTCCGAGTCTCCTCACTGTACTTTCCTGGTTTTAAGTTGATCCTCTAGAGACGGAAAGCAAGGTCGACGATCATAGAAAGCAACTGAATGCCACATACTTCAAGTTGGGTGATCCAGAACAACAAAGCGCTGTGAAATGCGCCATCTATGTATGGGAGATGCTCTCCTATGGAGCACCGAATGCAGGAGATGATATGTGTTTTTTGCTGCTGGCTGATCGAATGCTGTTAGTAGCGCTGCGGATGCGGTCTGAAATGCTGCTCTATCTAACCCTCCGGCCTACCCCATGACTGTTGTCGGAGATTGGACAGTGAAGAATGGGTTGCGAAGCTTTGCTATTGCTAGACAAAAACTCATTATCTATAGCTAGTTCAATCATGCCCGACTCAGCAGTCTGAGCTATGGAAGTTGCTGATAGCGTTGAGAAAGGCTTTGAGGCGGCGATGAGGGCCAGGCAACATGTTCAAGCTTGCTGACCACAAGAGTCTCCGGACGAGGAGGGAGAAATCATCATCATGCGAACTTCGTTGCTCGCCAGGGGCAACTTGAACGCGCCCCACACTATTCGCCTGCCGGAATTGTCCTGGATTTTTGATCCATTAGTATCAGTAGCTGATATACTACGCGGAATTTAGGGTCAGTTGATGGCTGGTCGACGGCCGGTGCATCATTGCTGCCCTCGAAGATGTGCCTCATGTTCTCGAGGGTTACTGGAAACCCCTTGGCAGGTCCGTTCGGGACGTAAATGCTCTGTCGTGGTGGCTCAATAGTGGTGCGCGGTGGGATATTGTCAGGCAGCAGCTTACGATCAGCGGTTCAAAAAGTGATTGCGAAGGTGGGAGAGAACCCATTGGGGTTGGAGATAAAGGGCTGGCAAAATCACGGAAGTGACCTATCTAGGCTGGTTGCAATTAAGTGGCGTTACTAAAGAGCAGCTGGTGGGCACGAGGTCCTCGTCGACGTTGTTCGTGGGACAACGTGGAATGAGGGGAGGTACTGACACCTCCAAGAGAACAACGAGCGTGATACCATTCTCCACGGAACTAAGCACCAAGGCCCTGAAAGAAGAGTTTGATTACGCTGCTGGTGTTGGCGCACAACTTCCAAGGCCGAGCCCAGGCCGACCACCCTGAAGCCGCATGCGACAAGGTTGAAGGATATGTCAACGTATGGGCCAGGGGCTTCAGGGCCCTGCGCCTCGAAGTGCCTGAGAACAGTAAACAACTTCCGTGATCAAAACTACACCATATTCCGCCCCATATTTCACTCAGACACTACACCAAAAAACCGAGCTAGAGACAGTCCTTGAACGCAAACCTCCAGTGTACTTCCCGCAAGTGACAAAGCCGCAGTCTTTGCCTTTATAATACTCGTAGGAAGCGTAAGACTCGTCACGTGGCCAGACACGGCAAGGGCGACTGAGTTCATTGACAGCCGAGACCCATCGGGAGATTGACCGTGGTTGACCACAGATGCGCCCATTGAGGGAGCTGCCAGCCCTGGCTTCACACACTTGCGCTTGTGCTCAACAGCCATGTTTGGATTCGGCGACTTGACGGAAATTGTCCTGCCTCTGTAAAGCTTATCATCATTTCTGCCATCTTGAGGCTGACATCAACAAGGAAATCCGCGGAAGACCGATGTTTAATCACGAGCCAAGCCAGCAGCGTAGAACTTCGATCGCCTCGAGTTTAAGCTCAACGACATCCTCATTCCTCAGAATAGCGCCGTTAGATCCATTAATAATAAACTGTCTCTTAAAATATCATAATAAAGGAGTAAAGGAGGTATTTTAAAGTAAATCCCTTGGTAAGATTTATGCTAAGATAAGGATGTAAGTCAAATTCAAAAGAGCGTGAGTTAGTACTTGTCTGCTATCTTAAACGAGGGAAAGCCCGTCTTATAAGTATATAGATCATAAACATGCATTCTGGCCTCGCCACATAGTAAACATAGAGTAAGCCCATTTCGAGTATCATTTGCAACATCCCTTAACATGTCATCAATTCGGGAGCTTCTCACCATTCGTTCTCATTTCAGGCGATGCAAAAGGGACCTGACTATTCATCTTTCCCAGTTGGGGATTAATATAAGATACCAAGCGTAAGTCTCCCCCACGTTGTATAGAGCAGCCAATATAGGTGTGAACACCAAGGCCGCCAGCAAGGGCCTTTGTATCACTAGAAAGAGTGAGCTGCATTCAATATAATGATAAACACGACTTGACTTACAACAAATTTCCCAGGCATCTGGAATATAACTCGGCACTCACTGGCGCTGTTCGAAGAGCTTGCCGCTGTCCGACCTGTTCCGTTAAGAACTCCTTCAAGACCTTGATGATTTGCTGATCATTCTTTGCGTAGTGCCGTACAGGGATATAAATCTTGACTTTTGGGGTTTCTACATTCATGCGAAACTCGACGTTGTAGAGAATACCGGCTGTCCTGTGGTCTTTGTAGGGGAGAGGGATATCATCAGGCTTATTATGCATGCACGTTAAAGCATCCCAAAGCCGCTTCAGCCTCTTCATACCCGTCTCAAATTCGGGGCCCTGTATTCGGCCTCCTAGGGACATAGTCTCCTTGACGGAGCCAAAGTCTGTCCTTCTCTCCCGAAAGTAGATCTTAAGCCTGGCCTTTTCTAAAGGAACTAGGTCTAAAGCCAACATGTCTATTTCGGGCTCCAAGCCTGGATGCTGGTATACAAAGTCGATGTAGATGTGTAAGGGAATCTGCATTCCGATTCCGCATCCAGGGGCAGAAGTGATAGCATCTGTGATGACTCTCAATTTGGACCGATGGGTTGCACGCGCAACAACGCCGGGGAAGAAGTACGCTTTATTCGTAAGAGTTTTCTCGTTCAGGTCGAAAGCCCAAAAGAAGGTCGAACAGTGACCTTCTGGGTTTCTATCGGCCCAACTCCCATTAAAGCGTGCTTCAAAGTGGTCAAGCAAAGCGGTCTCTATATCTGGATATGCCTTGAACAGGGCTTGTTTGAAGGCCGCCGCAGTTCCCTCGTTGTACTGATTTGTACCAGTACCAGCATCGGCTCCAATGGGTTCGATGGAATAGCGGATGGTGGGTTGGTCCGCGCCGGTGTGGAAGTCCCAACTCAGTTCGATGGGAGTATGGTCGTCGGTCATGAAACTCTCCCACCGCGGAAGTTCCGACCAAGGGGCAACGCCTAAATATGGCGTAACAAGCTTTGCAAAGTGATGAAGGATACTATTTTGGCTCTCATAACTGTACCCCGCACTATCTAGGAGCGCTCCTAGCATGTAGCCAACGGTTTGGTACCAGTACTGCTGATGAGGCTCAGAGATGCCCTCCCACTTAGTTTTGACTAAGTGCCATGGTTTGGCTTCTTCTTGGGCTTCTTCTTGGAGGCTTTGCGAGGGGATCATTGTCAGGCGAAGTCAGTTGAGTGGTTAACAAAAATGTTGATGATGAAATCTCTGCTGTTCAAACGTGTCCGCAGAGAACTTTATATAGGAATTCGTAAATCTCTATGGCAGATCTGGACGCATTTCACCAACACTTGCCACCAGAAGATTGCTAAAAGCGGTGTAACATCGTACTGAGGATAAAACAAATGAGAAAGGCAAGCTGAAGGGAACTCGAGCAAAATCCATCACATGCATCCAATATTCAGCTCGACATGCTGCTGAGGCTTTTTCGGGATTGGAGCATTTAAGTTGATAGGGACACTCCGATACGCTTTGGGTCTGGCAGAGTGAGACACATATGCAAGAACTATGATATGATTAGAGACACTTATACGGGAGGCATGGTCTGATTCAAGGTTTGCTTCAGCCTTCTCTATGAGCTAGAGTCATGACTATACACCTGGTTTTGGTCCTGCGGCAGTTGCAATTTAATTCTTAACTGTTAATAGTACAAGGTTGTGAATTATTAAGCTTCTCAAGGTTATTCAATGCAAACGGCTTTTATGGGCTTCTCAGATGATGGTTGTAGCATTTCCTGTTCTTTTGAGTTGTGCCGCTGTTCAATGAAGTTTGCCCGGTTTAATCACATAAACATGCAGCCACACCAGAACCAGTCTGCTGTAACGACCGAGAATACTTAACAGAACAGAGGCCAATACGAGGTTATTAAGTCTCAGCTCGTCATGAAAGATAACTTCCGGTCCGGACTCCTGCGGCTGAGTGGTGGGATTAGGGATCGACTATCGAGTCAAATCACAGAATTATGGTGTCCACCTGCAGTCGGCAAGACACAACTTGGTTGAGTTTTCGATGCATCGATTCCCTTCTAGTGCATGTGAAAGCTCTGTGGAGTACTAGGCAGTACTTTCAACGATGTAGGTGTGGATGGATTCTGACCCCCCTCAGAAGTCATAGTCCATAGGGTGTGAAACCGTTGGCAAAAGAACATGCTTTTCCCTTGCAGATTTACTGCACCTCGGAGCGGCAAGGTGGCCGACAGGTAATCTCCTCGAACCAAGTCCGAGGAGCATGTTATCATTGTCTCTGCGTAGAAGCGTGATATACATATGTTTTGTATCGGGACCACAGACCTCTTATCAGACCAGTGACGCGATTAAATTCGCTATTCGTTGTCAAACCAAGCTATGTTCGATGCCTTGCAGGCACAAGATGCCGATTTACGAGTCGACGAAGCAGATCCTGATTTACTAGGTAGGTGTTCTGGAGCGGCAGAGTGTCGAGTGTCTCTTGTCGTACACCTCACAGTCTACAAGTCATAACGTCTTGTTACTTGTTTCCGGCGCGATCATCGATATACTACGAGTTACGTTTATTTTGAGGAGATCTCTAGTGTAAACATGGCACACATCACCTATATTGCTTAGCATCTGTTGTAATCACGCTGACGCACTGAGGTCGACCAAGATCCTGGCTATCAATGGCTTAGAAACACGCATATAATAACATTGTGCAACGACACCTTTATCCTTGCAAGATAACAAGGTCATAATCAGCTCCAGAAACTTGCAAACTAAGCTCAATCGTGTCCATCCTATCATCTATGTTGTAAATCTCGCAGAGCTCGCTATTATGGTACACCCCATAAATCCCCTTCTCAAGTCCAGAAAATCGGGGTTGAAGTCTATTGTTTTTAATTAGCTTTACATAAATCAATGCTAAGTCCACTGTGCACGTACTCTCTGGGCGTTCCGTCCCACGAACGTATTGTCATCGCAAGCGCCTTGCGTTTATCGTCCCAAGTTCCCCGAAGGAAGTCGACACCGCAAGATAAGTCGACGTTATCCACGAATGGACTTGTGGAGAAATGTGAGGTTGTCCATGGATCCGAATACATCTTGCGCTGGCCCTCGAATACATTAAGCCGCCCGTAAGCTATTCCAGCATTTCCGCTAAAAGCATCAACGTTCGGTAAGCTATCATTTCCAGGTGCTGATGTTCGAAAAGGGTAAAATAAACCCCCCTGGTCCCAAGTTGGGTTAAAGGTAGAATCGACAAAAGAGAGTAAGCCATCCAAAGTATCTTGATCTCCCAACTCAGATACCCATTGAACAACATACCCAAACACAGATGGAATTAACGGCCATACAGTCTGGGAGGTCTGTTCCTTGGAGGCAATCATCTCGGTTGCTTTAGCATAAGTCGAGGGCGCCATTGGATCTGCCCCCTCAGTCTTGACAAGTTCTCGAATCTGGAATGCTACTCGCGAGTTGCTTACGAGAACATGCTCAGAATTGGGTTTAGCGAGAAATCCCACAGACTGGCTCTTATAGGTATCGTGGGCAACAGAGGTATTCCAAGCATTCATGAATGCACCAGTCCTGACGATCATTAGTAACGCTATATGTATGTTATCTTAGAATAACATACCAGGCAGAGGACCATATGTCTTCGGAAAGCTGCTTCTTGTCTTGCTTTACACTTAAGAATTCGATAAAGAGCCCATTATCCTGAAACATGCCCTTTGTTTTCCATGCCAATTTGTATTTTTCGATGACCTCTCGCGATACGGAGGTGCCATCTCTGACATCATTATAGTGCAACGCAATCAACTATACTCGACATTAAATTCTCTGAATATTGCCTTCAGGATTTAGACGGTGAGCAACGTACCGGAAATTGGTTGCAATTGATGAAAATGCTATTCGGCTCGCAGCATACGCCCAGCCAGTTTTCCCGTTCCATCTCTGATATGATGGAGTTCTGTAAAGTTTTGCGGGTATAGCAAAATCTTTCAGGACCCATACCCCAGAACATAGGATCCCAATTAAACTCCAAGGCATCCTTCTCATTGTATTTATCGTCATCGAAGAGCATTGTATACAGCGACACCATGAGGAGAAGGTGACCGGAGTACTATAAAATGGTTAACGTCTGTCACATATTCTTAGAAGTCTCCCGTTTCTTACCATAATGTTCTCTTTAGTGACTGGATTTGCCCAGGGTTTTCTCAGTTCCGTAAGATCAGGATCGATCCGCTTTCCACTATGGCTTGTCATAAACCAGTATCCCCACACGTCGCGTAGTAGCATTTTGTGGATAAGCTTCTCCATTAAGACCTTGAATACAGACCTGAGGAGTGGCAGTCTGTGATAATGAGTCAATGCTGAGGCATATACCATAGTTGCGAGCTGGTAGCGATATGCATCGAGCCATTCTTGACCTGGCTTTTGACACACCATATGACGCCATTCGCCATCACGTTGAGTTGCCAAATTATGGAAATGCCGCAGATGACCGACTTGCTCTCGACATAGCTTCGGATGGTTCGCTAAGAACGTCTCGTCAAGCATGTTAGGAAAGTCATAGCCTTGTGACCCCAATAGTGTGGCTACATGTTTACTATGATCATCATAGCTAGGCGAAGCAGCTCTACATGGAGATTGTTAGCATCGACTATTTGCATCTAGTGCGTTGGCTATGTAAAGACAGGAGATAAGGGGAAATCAACTCACTCGGAGTATGTTGAGTCCATTATATGGAAATTCTGTTAATAAAGTTGGAATTTTATGCTAGGTAAATGCCTGGTGTGCAATAATTCCAACATCTAGCTGCCTCAGACATTCTTATAGCCAACTCAACAACCCTAACACGAAGCAGGTTTTATGTCACAGCAGTTAATGGTACATCGTAGGTGAGCTGACTCTATTCAATCGGGTAGATTTGGCAAGCGTCCATTAGCGGTTGACTGACGTGTACGTCAGGATTACCGCCGAGCTGCTCAACGGCCTTTCGACCATTGCTAGACGGAAAGGGACATGTGTCGACTTCCATTTTATTGGCTCAAGCCAGGACTAGCATTTGGAAGGTGGTATGGCAGCTCCAGACTGGAGATATGCATTTGGTATCTTGTGGCTGGGGGGCACCGGGGCTATCTCATGATATCGGAGTCTATCAGCTCAGAATTCAGTCATGGTGATCTGATGCAAAGGAATAAGGGTAAAGAGTAAAAAGGAAATGAGGGGGGAGGGAGGTTATCAAAAGAAAGGGGGAAGGGGAAAGAGAAAATAGAAAAGAGCGAAGAGTAGAGTAGAAAGACCAAGAACTGCCTCTACATTGAAACTCATGTGAGACCAAGCCACATCGGGTGAAGCTGGGAATAAGGTACCGGACTTAATCGAGTGAACCGTGCCTCGCGGCACGCGAGCCGCCTGCAGACACACCAAAAGAGGATATGCTGTTCCCAACATACATTATGCCATTCCACTCTAAAATCATGTTTGCGATAAGTGGAAACCCATCAGGAAGTGCGACACGTCTCATGATTCTCTTGGGGCAGGCAGCATTCCGCTTTTAATTTCAGATTCTGCATCTAGCATCCCGACTTGTCAAAAAAGCTCACCTACTGCTCGCCAAGTGTATTCTTGGCCCTGAAATTACAGGATTACGCACAACATAGAGCTCTCTTAGATAAACGGAAAATAGTAATAACGATGACCGGTTAATCTCCGTCTTCCACGCCGGAATCCTCTCCTTTCTTCATTTTGCCCATGTACGTTGCAGGATCTACAAGCCAAAGCTACGAGTGCTCAAACGATGTGGTGTATCTCTCTAAATTCTAATCACTTGCAAGTCGTGGGTAGTTAAAAGTTCCATTCACCCAACATGCCGGCTACAATTGGCGCAGTGGCATGATTGTGCAACCCTCGGGTTGTGAGTGGTTAGTCAGCTAGCAAGGGGAGACGGCAAACACTCCGTGCAGGACACAATCATGCCACTCTATGAAATGTAGTTAATATTTGGTAAGGATAAACGCTTTTTGTCGCCCCGGTGCCACATTTCAGGTCCACTCACATACGTCTTATTTAGCCAAGCCCTTTCGCTTGACCCGCATGAAGGATGGCATATGGTACAAAGGTACTAGATCACCCATATCACCTATTCTAGCATGGAGAAGGGGTGTATAAGTTTGTATGATAGGGTTGGTCTGTCTAGTGATGAAAGGACAGACTTCTGCTTCGAGCTTCGATCACGAGTACGAAGTCTGCCGGTATCCTTTTTCCAAGCTTGGAGCGGTGATGCTGGATAATTTGTTATCATACGATGATACCACAGCCAATTTTTCGTTGGTTATCCTTCCTCGGGAGCTCGTTGGTTCTCCACGTGTTTTACGCGATTGGTTCGAAACTTTCCGCAAGTGATGAGCCTAGCCATATATGAATGTTTGTGTAACAACAATGCCTTGGAACGGGGAGATTTTAGACCCTGGAGGTTCGGTAAGTACCGATAAGAAGTACCCGAAAACGCCACATACACCCAACTGAGACCTACTCGGCAGGGTTTGGTCAGAACCTCTGCTGGTGAAGCCTGGAACTTACTCACCTTGGTCAACCGTGCTAGATAGGAAAGTGCCCGGCATCCGCAAATTGAGGCTTGTGCAGGGGGTTTGAAATATGTACTGTGTTAGGAGAGGATAACCAGATGTCATGATCTTTGAACCGCGTTTCGACAGAACTTGAAAATGTATATCCCTCATGTCCGATCAGACACAGGCCACGATACGAAATGATCGACGGAATGTCTTGATTCCAGGTCGACATGTGATATCATAGCTTGTCATCTTGGCTCGGAAGACGCAGGGAGCGTTCTCATCTCCGATAGGAGGTCATAAGAAGAGTACTAACTACACTGCGTAAACAAGTGCATGCAGTACAGGTACTCCAAATAGCCTCTTACATTGCGGTAGCCTATGAATCTATTCTTCTACTTACGCTAGAGTTTTCGGCTTTCTACAGATAATATCTTTATATACATCAGCTTGTGATAACGATTCTGAAACCAATAAGAGTTTAGCGTCACAAGGACGGACAAAATGGCGCTGTGACTGAAATCCGCCTCAAGTGCTTTTGCCATTGTCTGAACGGCTAATCCTGATCATCAGTTGATCCTCGCGCTAGAGGTCGTGCTGGCCATAGCGCCGGAATGCGGTTCTATACATAAGATGGGGGGTCGGAAACTGATGTTGTCTCAAAGCTGGTAAGATGTCTGAGACATCAGGTCGTTACGTTCTCGTCGTACACCCTGCAAACAATCCCTCGTCGGAGGATCGCCGAGGATCATAGCAACCGTCTGTGATACTCTATGCATGCAAGGACTACACATCCGAATTATGCTGCAGAAACCCTGATGCTCTAGGTCGAGTGACTTAGTGGTCTTCTTTTGCAAGAGTGTGTAGTCAATCTCCAGATATTCGATTAACTACGATACGTAGCATTGCGTCGTTGGAGTGACATTCCTGCCCCCCTATGCTGGAAAAGTCATACTTCAAGCCGACGGGATTATTAGGGTCCAGCGGTTCTAAGATGAGGTCTTATGCAAGCTTTTGCTCGAGCATCGACAAGCGAACGTGGTTCAGCTCGGCTGCCAGAGTAATGACGCGTTGCTGTAGAAAGACTGCATGTGCTTGTCTTAAGTCGCTCTTGGGGGTTTCCCTTGTTGTACTACATTCCTCACACAATAGAAACGCAAAGTCGCAAGTAGACCTCCATCTGGTACGCGTTCTTCATGTTCGATACATCCGGACAGCTTGCAACTGCGCTTGACTTATTGCCTTCCGGTTTTCATTGTCGCAAAAGTCTTATCCTCCTCTTTTGCTGGCATTGATGTATCCTATGTTAATGGCTTTCATATTGACGTCGACTGATTATCTCGACCGATGGTATTAGCAGTCATTGGCGAATGATCATGTGTAAAAGATCGGTTGACCAAGTGTGGCCTAAGGTTATTGTCTACGAGACGCTTTCATTATCCAATCCCCACAAATGAGAGTGTGGCAGCATCCTGCTGGTCAATTGTGAAGCTGAAGATTACATGTGAATCCTTTGTTGACCATATCAGCTGCGTATGTGATACTTCCTTGTTGTAGGCCACACAGCTGATGAATGATGTATCAATCGGCTATGCACGTCGCCAAAGATATTACAATTCGGCCGTTGCCGGCATTCTACAGCCAGTCTGACAATTTTGAGAATATCTTACCCGTACAAGGAAGAGAGCTGCGCACAGGAATAAGGCCAAGAGAAAACAAATGGCTAGAACATGCTTTATCGAATTAACGACAGTAGAAGCCATCAAAAGGTCCTAGTCATTAGTAGTAGTAGTATTATTAGTTGTTGTTGTAAATGAAAATAAAAGGTTCATCTTTAGTTAGTTTATTATAGTAGAAATATTAAATGGTGATATGCCTTAGAGACCTGAATTTTACATTAGGTATAGGTTAAGTAGCACTTAGCATAATCAGTATGGAGCAAGTAGATGTCGTAGGTTGCATGAAGTCTTGAGGGTCTTTTCTTTATCACCTTTGCAAAATTGGCATGTGATAAAGCCTTAAGGGCCTTTTCTTTCTTTACTTTATAAACTTAGCATGTGATAAACTGTCTAGAATCCAAGTGGGAGAGAAACGTATAAAACAGCCATCCTATCCAGACTAACTTTGCGACAACAAACAGAAAACAGCATACAGACAACAACAAACAAACGATAACCTAAAGAAAAAACCTAAAGAAAAAAAAAAAACTGCACTTTTTCCTACATTCCCTTCACGTAGCCCTTACGCTACCAGTCCCATCAATCCTCTCAGAAAATACGAGTTTCCTATATTGACCATGGCCAAACACACTGAGCACGAGCCGATCGCCATTGTAGGCATTGGATGCCGCTTTCCGGGAGGCATAAATACAAAGGCAGACCTCTGGCAAGTCCTCTGCCAGGGCCTCGATGTCCTGACTGAGGTGCCGGCTGATCGGTTTGATGTGACCGCCTTACACGATGACGACGTTAGGAAATACGGAGTCATTCGAAGCCGCAGGGGTGGATTCGTCGACGATATTTACGGGTTCGATGCCGAGTTCTTCGGTCTGTATCCTGGAGAAACGTCCCGGATGGATCCTCAGCAGCGGTTAGCTCTGGAGGCCTCTGTGCACGCCATCGAGGACTCTGGCATTCCGCTTCATCGTGTGGCTGGGTCACGAACAGGTGTGTTCCTCGGAACATTCATGTCTGACCATTTGAGTATGCAGACAGCCACGGAGCAGCGGGACAACATCAGCCCGCATAGTGCGATGGGCGTGTCCAACAGCTCGATTGCAAATAGGGTATCGCATCGACTCGATCTACAGGGCGCCAGTGTAACTCTTGATACCGCTTGTTCCAGCAGTCTCGTGGCATTACATCTTGCCTGCCAGAGCCTGTGGACAGGTGAGAGTGAAGGTGCTCTGGCTGGTGGCGTCAACGCTCTCCTTCGGCCTGAGTCTACAATCTTGATGACGAAGGCCGGGTTTCTTTCTCCAGATGGCGCCTGCAAATCATTCGATGCGGCAGGAAATGGATATGTCCGTAGCGAAGGTGTCGGAATGGTGTATTTGAAACCCCTTAGCCGAGCGCTTCAAGACAACGACAGAATCTATGCCACGATTCGCGGCTCACTGGTGAATTCAGACGGATACACTTCAGACGGATTCACGGTCCCAAGTCTGAAAGCACAGACCGCACTTCTACAGCGTGTATACTCCAACGCTGGGGTAGATCCTTCTATGGTGCGATATGTCGAAGCTCATGGGCCTGGGACACCAGTGGGCGATCCTGTTGAGGCACGCGCCGTCGGAGGACATATCGGGCTAGCGCGTGGGAAAGGGGATAAGTTCTTGTGGATAAGCTCAATCAAAGGCAACCTTGGCCACCTGGAGGGTGCCTCCGGCATTGCTGGCCTCATCAAGGCTGCACTCGTGGCCTATCATGGTGCAATTCCTCCTCAGGTAAACCACAGCATCCCTAATCCGGCAATTGATTTACAATCTCTCCGTCTCAAGATCCCGAGATGTATGATTGATCTAAAGCAAGACGTGGAAGGCGGGATCATGGTTGGCGTGAATTCTTTTGGGGCTGGCGGCACGAATGCTCATGTGATTCTAGAGCAGGCTCCTCCCATTGCTGGCGGCCAAACATCCCTCCACGACCCTCGGGTGTTTCTTCTGTCTGCACGATCGCTATCTGCTCTCAAGGAATTATCAGATCAACTTATTGATCATCTAAAGCATCAGCAGCCTAACCTCACGGACATCGCATACACACTTGCCAGCCGCCGAAGCCGCCATCGCCATATTTGTATAATCCCCGCCAGACAACTCGACGAACTGTGCGATCGCCTCAGCCACCTGTCATCTGGGCGGACTCCAAAAGAGGCCTTGGTCTTGGAGAAGAAGTATGATAGACCTCGGGTTGCCTTCGCCTTTTCTGGTCAAGGTGGCCAGTGGTTCGGTATGGGTTTGGCCCTGGCGCAACAGGAAGCTGTTTTCCGTGAGTCGCTTACGGCGTTTGATGAAATCTTTCGGACACATTCAGGAATCTCCATCGTCCATGAAATATCAAAACACCAAGATGAATCCCGCTTGAACAGCACTACAATCGTTCAGCCTGCTATCGTGGCCATTCAGATTGCACTAGCAAGAACATTGATCTCATATGGTCTCGAGCCCGAGGCAATTGTAGGCCACTCAATTGGAGAGGTTGCAGCCGCGCATCTCGCGGGTGCGCTGTCCCTCGAGCAAGCTGTTACCGTTATTTATTATCGATCGAAGATACAGAACCGGGCTGCTGACCTCGGTTCTATGCTGGCTGTCGGACTATCCTCAACAGAAGCAGAAAAGATCATCTCCCGGAAGCAGGTTGCTAAGAGAGTTGCGGTTGCTGCTATGAATGGCCCTAAAATGACAACTATAGCTGGAGACTCAGCAGATCTGCGACTCATTGCAAAGGAGCTTGAATTGCAGGGGACTTTTGCTCGGTTTGTCAATGTGGAAGTCCCATATCACAGCCATTTCATGGACCCTCTAGAAACCGACCTTACAGACGCGCTAGGATCAATTCAAGGCATACCCACCAATATCAGTCTCTACTCCACTGTCACAGCCTCTATCGAGCCTGGGACTCATCTAACTGGAAAGTACTGGTTCGATAATGTGCGAAAGCCAGTCCGATATGTTGAGACCGCCAAGAGATTGATTGACGACGGCTACAATTTTGTCGTCGAGATCGGCCCACACCCTGTCCTTGTTTCGGGGACTCGAGAAATTGCCGAGGCTGCTGGACGCAAGGTTCACATCCTTCCAGCCATGATGCGGGGCAAAGACCATGAGCCCTTTGCCATTGTTCTAGGAGCTGGGTATGCTGTTGGTGCTGATGTTCAGATTGATGTTTTTAATGGTGGAGGTGGTCATTTTATCGACCTCCCTATGTACCCCTTCCAACGGAAGCACTTCTCATTCGAACATCCAGAGGCTCAACAACGCCGACTTGGGATATCCAGGCATCCATTCGATGGGGGTTTGACTAGCTTAAGCGACGACGGCCGCGGAAGTGTCCGCCTCAGGGCTAGCATCGGCGTCTCTCCTTTCCTAGCTGAACATGTCGCTGATGGCACTATGATATTCCCCGCTTCTGCGCATATCGAGGCTGCTTATATGGCTGCGAAAGATTTTATGCCACTCGCAGACGTCTGGTTGGAGGACCTCAAATTTGAACACCCTTTGGTGCTAGCCCCGCCCGAGGAATTCGCTCCTCAAGTCCTCCTTGAGATAACATCTATTGCAAAAACTTACACCATCAGTTCCCGACCAGCGGATTCTCCCCCCTCGACACCATGGCAGACTTGTTCTACAGGTCGAATCAATGCCTTTGATTCGATTTCAAACACCAGTGCCGAAGCACTAGAAGATGTCAGGTGCCGAGTTCAAGCGGGTAAAGCATTTGATAAAGAAGAATTCTACTCAACACTCGAACGATCCGGCCTTCGATATGGTGAGGCATTCCGAGGTATACAAGAGTTATGGCAACTCGGAACAGAAATCTTTGCCCACGTCAAGCTTCCCGAACCCCTTACTCATGACACAGCTCGATTTCGATTTCATCCTGCGTCCCTAGACGCTTGCCTACAAACAGTATTCGCCGATGTGCAACATCGTGGCGACGCTCGCTATGTGTATTTACCCCACAAGATTGAAAGAGTGCAAGTCTCTGATGCATATGGCGCAACAGAGGTTTTTGTATATACCAAAATTCAGCACCATGACAGGAATTCACTGCGCTGCGATACACATGTGTACAACGCATCCGGCCGTGTAATTGCAACAATTATTGGAATGACTGTCAAACGCCTGCTAGGAGCACACATCCCTGAACCAGTTGAGTATGAAACTACTTTCCAGGAGGAATCGCGATCCACTGGCAACAGAACAGAGGCAGACTTTGCCAGTGTCTTGGTCCTCGGGAACAGAAGCTTGGAAGTCACTCAGCTTGCCCGAGAGGCATTCCCCCGGGCGTCAGTCTCCCATAAACCTGTGACATGGATTGAGCGGTTCGCCGATAGCACTGCAAAAGACTTCAGACTAGACCGCCGGACGCTCATCGTGATATCAACGCTGACACCGTCGCCAGACCACGACCTGGTAGCACAGATGGGGTCTGTTGTTCCGACTCTCTTACATCTTTCCCGCTGGATTCACCATCAAGGCGGAACCCCTACAGTGGCAGTACTACTTGCGGGAGCGTGCATGACACCGTCAGACTTACAATGCAACCCAGCCACGGCTGCGTTAGAGGCCGCGGTGCGTTTGATGGTGAACGAGCTTCCCCAATCGGACATCCGTGTCATTGACCTTCCCTTGGGCCAGAACGACTGGGACTTCCAGTCCGTTAAGGAGGAGCTCCTGTCTAATCGTCACGATCGTCATGACACTGTTGTCGCGATACGCCCCGGAGGACGATTTGTTAGACGGATTATCCCCCTTACTGCTGAGGAAGCCGAGAAGCGAGCCATGAAGAAGCTCCCCGCGCAAGGCGGAAGGTATACATGTGAGCCAGATCAAAGTGGCATTATTATCAGGCAACAAACTTCGAAAAACCTAGGCGCAGAAGAAGTAGCTATTGAAGTCCATGCCGCTTCCTTGAACTTCAAAGACGTTATGAATGAGAGGAACTTGACAAGTGATCTCTCCGTCTCCGGCGCACTTTCGGGTCAGAAGCTTGGCCTCGAAGTCGCAGGGAAAGTCGTTGATATAGGGGCGAATGTCAACGATATCCAGCTCGGTACAAAGGTCATGGCCCGAGTTGCGAATGGGCTTGGTGGATTCGTTACGACCGATCGCTGTCATGTTTCCCCAATTCCTAAGCAACTCACAGCCTCTCAAGCTGCTTCTATCCCAGTCGCTTACGTCACAGCATACTATGCTTTAGTCCATCTCGGCAGATTGACTGACAAAGACACTGTTCTTATCCATGCAGCAGCTGGAGGGGTTGGAGGGGCTGCCATTCAGATTGCTAAGCTCTGTGGGGCTCGCATCCTTGCTACAGCTGGTAACCCTAAACGTCGTGCTTGGGTTCTCGGTCAGGGTGTGGCAGCAGCTTTTGACTCACGGTCTGTATCGTTCTACGACGATATCAAGGCCTTTACTAACGACCGTGGTGTCGATGTCGTGCTCAATTGTCTTACAGGCTCATTATTCTCCCAGTCTTTCGCCTGCCTAGCACCTTTTGGACGCTTTTTAGAAATCGGAACGACCGACATCAACCGGAACACGAAATTGGGCGTCGGTCAGTTCAGCGAGAATCGTTCATTCCTAGCTGTAGATGTTGACCGAATGGCCCTACAAAAGCCGGAACTCCACACCCGGGTGCTTAAAGATGTTTACACCCTCTTCGAGAGCGGGAAATTGGTACCTCCTCCCATCACTGAATACCCCATAACACAACTATCGAGGGCCCTCAAATCACTATCTCGTTCTGCAGTAATTGGAAAAGTGGTTATGACTATGCCAGAGAATACCACCATTGAGGCATCTGTGCCGACTCGACTGAATTTGCGGGCTGACCGAAGCTACCTCATCACTGGAGGGGCTAGCGGACTTGGCCTGCAAATAGCAAGATTTCTGGCTGAGCGAGGAGCAAAGCATCTTATTCTTGTGAGCCGTTCTGGGCCCAAAACTGCCGAAGATAAAGCAATTCTTCTCGAAATGGAGGCAAGCGGTGTCGTGATTATAATTGAGCACGCGGATATCAGTAACCGGGAAATGGTCGCATCGTTATTCTGCAAACGAGACTGGCCGACAATTGCGGGTATTGTTCACTGTGCAAATGTTCTGCGTGAGCTCTACTCATACGATACATCTATGGAAGATTTCTGGACAGTGTTTAACCCAAAAGCGCTTGGTGCATGGAACTTGCACCTGGAGACAAAGGATATGCATCTTGACTTTTTCGTCATGACCTCATCCATCTCCAGCATGTTAGGGCTGATTGGTCAGTTCAGCTATGCGGCTTCGAACCAGTTTCTAGACTCATTGGCGCACTATCGCCAGGCAAATGGCCTACCGGGGCTTTCACTTAACTATGGGGTTCTAGGAGATTTCGCCAGCATGACCCGCAAGTCGGTGGAGACAGATAAGCTTATGGGCATTTTGCGATCGTATGGCTTATATGCCATGAGTCTACCGATGGTCCTTTCCGCATTTGAACGTTCCATCCTACAAGGCGCAACGCAACGAATGCCTTTGAACATCAATTGGTCCGTATTTCTCAGAGCACACCCACATCTGCTCCGTGACGGGGCTTTCTTTGGGTTGGATGCAGAAGAGAGTAGGAATGGTGATCCTGCATCTTGCGGATCATTTTCTTCGCCTCAAGGGCCGGCACCTTCCGAGGCAATCGCTGAGACACTGCGCTCTAGGCTGGCCAAGATCCTTGGGGTCGAGGTAGACCAGATCGCCCTTACTGAGAAGATCGACCAGTATGCATTCGACTCTATCACCATGACTCAGATCCGAGGTGTAATACTTCAAGAGTTTCGAATTTCGTTTGCACTCATGAGGTTATTTCAGGGTCCTAGCCTGCAGGAGATCGCCAACGAAGTTTCGGTACAGATGGGCAATGAGACTAATAACCTAACAAACAGCGAGAACGGAAGAGGGTCAGATGATAACCACGGCATGTATGATGGCCTCAGCGTGGTATCGAAGTGGTTGGTCCGTGGTGTTCCTCTAGTGAAGACCCGAGGCCGGCTTTTCCTATTCCATCCTATGGGGACAGGAGCTTCATTCTTTGCCCCATTCCTGCTCGACCCACCAGAAGGCTTTGACACTGTCGCGGTCCAGCTACCAGGGCGCGAGGGGAGGAATGATGAGCCTGTGCCTTCTCAGATGGCCGAGATCGTTACAGGTATAGTAAGCGAAATTGGCGAGATTGGAGCCCAGGACGTTTTCTGGGGGCACTCATTCGGTGGCGTTGTCGCTTTCGAAACTCTCAGAGCGCTCAAAAGGCGACGCAGTATCTTGCCTCGCCTGGTAGTTACTGGAACCATCGCGCCTCATCTTGTCCGTCTATGGCAGAAGCGAGACGTTCTTCTCCGAGTTATGGCCGACGACTACAACCCAGACTACATGCTCGCTGTATCGCGATATGTGGACGACGCCAACTTTTTCCGGGCCTTACTACCGAAAATGAAGAAAGACATGCCATTTTTGATGGGATATGAATATGTCGAAGAAGATGAGACTCTTGGTGTGCCAATCACGGCGTTTGCGGCACGGCAAGATGATGTCGTGTACCCAGATGAAATTCAGCCATGGGCCTCACATACGCAAGATTTTAGGCTTTTTGAAGTTGACGGAGACCACTGGTTCTTGCATCGTAATCGCGACTTGCTTCGCCAGACATTGGAAAGGATGGCAACATAATCTGCTTCTGCCTATGCAAGTAGGAAATAGGCATATAAATATTAATTACTACTGTTTTTCGGATCCAGAGTGAGATATGATTCTCGGGTTTTACGTGTTTCATCAGGATTCGGCTAATTAGAAACTGTTAAACACGTGCTGGGTTATTACATGCATGCAGGGGACATTCAATATTGCGCACGTGAACAGTAGAGACGTATAGTGAGCTCGCTGTAAGTCTCTTTCCTTTTCCTTTCTCCATAATCTTAGATAGCTTATCGCAAGACCACCTATTGTTAAATAAACTCAGGTTCAACGCCTTAAGTAAATATTATAGAATTTGTTATATAAAGTTAATTATCAGCTGATAACTAATATAAAATATAAATACTAGGTATAAGTTATATAGATCTTTGGTTGACTTTGTTTACTGGTATTAATTATTATTAATATATCTTACTATGACTTTGCCTAACTTATAAATCTCTGATAGGATTTAATTTAAAGAAATAACTTAATATAATAATTAGGTTTTTAGATAAATAAATTAATTTATATTAGGTTTATATAAGTATTAGTTTTAATATAATTAAAAAATTAGAAACTAAAAATATAAGGTATATATAATATAACTGCAGGGTTTATAATATATAAGGCATTTATATAATAATTATATAAGCCATTAAACCACAGGGCAAAAGACCAGGCCATAATTATAAGGGTTATACCTAACCATTATGCCATAAGGCAAAAGATTAGCTAATAACTACTATTATAGTAATTACTATAGTGCATATAGCTACTTATAGGAGCTCATAGTAAACTAAATTATAATATAATATTCCCTCTCTAATAGCTTATAACCTAGAAGCCTACTAAAGCCAGCTATTATAGGGGAAACTAAGCCCTATAAGCAGTGCAGCTACCAACCCCTAAGTATATACCCTGTAGTTGCCCCTAACTGCGTTACGAGGGTAGCCTAATAAGTAGCTATTCTAAAGGTTATAAGAGGTAATTAAACCTTTGACCTTTGGGCCACCTGCTTTTAGTAGTTATTATATAATAGCTATACCTAATTATTATGCCATAAGGTAAAAGACTAGCTAATAACTGCTATTATAGTAATTATAATAGTATATATAGCTACTTATAAGAGCTTATAGTAAACTAAACTATAATAATACTTATTAAGTAAGTAATTATAAGTATATTATAGCTGTCTTATAAAAGCCTTATAGCGCTGTTAAAGGCATAAATTATAATATACCTCTCTTACCCTTAACTTTCTCTTTAGCCTTGTCCTTGCTATTACTAAGAAGAGTATATTTCTAGAAATTACTTATCTTAATTCTCTCCTCCCTATTATATCCTTTAAGCTTAATTATTATAGTTAATAGGTAAAGATAATATTATTAACTAACTTAAGTTAATTAGAAAGAGATATTACACAAGTTATAACGCCGCCCATTTAAGGTCTAATCCTTTGCGCTAATGCACGCAGCTGACAACTGCATCGGGGGTTAGTGGGATCTGGGAAAAACGCTTAAGTGTGCTATCATGTTCGGTTAAGGGAAGGTTTTGACCTAAACCCAGCAGATACAGGGAGTCGGATGCTCGGTAGTACATTACACTTTTATCCGCGGGCTCGATGCTCTATTCGGCCCGTATCCATGGGAAGTGGAACCGGTAAAGACGATACAAACTCATGATCACTTTGGGATAAGCGCGAAGCCACACTTATTATAACGCTTATCTGGGCAGTTATAAAACCAAGGCTGTTGTAGCCAGACTTCTTCCAATCTTGTTTATTTCATACTCGCATTTCTTATTACTGCGCAGACAACAGAGTATCTCAAACCGCACACGATTCAGCATGGTCAACACACTACCATTCGGCGACAAGCAAATCCCAGTACCCGGCTTTGGGGCCATGGGTCTAAATTCAGCCATGGGCAACGATCTTGAACTCGAACAGGCTGAGCCAGTCCTTATGAAAGCGGTAGAGCTTGGCTGTACGTTTTGGGATACTGCTGTAAGTAAATTCTCGAGTGACGGGCGGTCAAGGCATTTTTGCTGATTGCTGCGGGCCCTAGGTCGCCTACAAGAATGGTGCGAATGAAAAGTTGCTTGGTGACTTCATAAAGAAGCACAATGTCCGCGACAAACTGTTTGGTGAGCATACTAGTGTCCTGGTGCTGTATTACGCGTGGTCGCTGACAAGAGGTTGCGGTGTAGTAGCCTCAAAATGCGGATTTGACGTGTTTTCGCCTCAACGAACCGTGACCAACTCGGCAGCTCATATCAAGGAATACATTGAAGGGACGATTGAGAGGCTTGGTTTCACTCCCGATCTCTACTATCTGCACAGAATTGACCCTAGTGCGTAGAATTACTGTGCCTATGCCTGCTTTCATCAGTTCTAACAATATCAAGGTACGCCGCTCGAGGAGTCCATTGGTGCTCTCGATGAGCTCCGCCGCGCTGGAAAGACCAAGTACATTGGTCTATCCGAATGCTCTGCTACGACCTTGCGCAAAGCTAATTTAGGTACGTATACACAGTGCAGTGCTAAGAGAATTTAGTGGTACTAACATATTCAAGTTGCCAAAATCGATGCCGTCCAGGCTGAGTACTCTGCCTTCGAAACGATACACGAAATGAGTGGTCTTATCGACACAGCTAAGGAGCTAGGGATAGCCTTTATTGCATTTAGTCCTTTAGGACACGGCTGGCTTGTAGATAACTTTGATTATAAGTCTCCCGATGACTTTGCACCTAATGATTTCCGCCGCACTGGTAGGCTACCTCATTTACAAGCGAGCTAGAGCATCATCAGACAGGAGGCTGACCTTTATCATTATAGTCCCAAAGTTCCAAGGCCAGAACTTTTATCATAATAAGGCAATTGTAAATGAGATGAAGAAGCTAGCTACACAGAAGGGCTGCACAGTTGCGCAGATTGCACTGGCATGGGTGGCTGCGCAGGGGCTTATCAGCATCCCAGGTACGACTAAGGTCTCGCGTTTGGAAGAAAACTGGGCATCTCGGGCTGTTGTCTTGACAGAAGAAGAGGAGAAGGCAATGCGGAAGATTGTAAACGATGCTAAGCCGATTGGGGAGAGGTTCGCGGCCAATATGCAGCAATTGGTGGGTCACTAGATTCATAGCGGTTTAGTGGTGATTGTGGCTCATTTTGTGATCTTGACGGTCTTGGAAGATCCGAGTCAAATCTTTGAAAAGTTAGGCATTGAATTAGAAGCAAAACTCAGTCATAATCTAATACCTTCATGTGGGCTTGTGAAGCTTTGTCATTACTGGGATCTGAACAGAGGACGCTCGCCTCTTTGAGAGCGCCACATATCGGTAGACCTGAATAGGTCGAAGCAGTCTGAAATGACCCAGCCCCAGGATCGAGCAAACTCTGCCGTAACTTCCCATCCGCTAGGATCCCACGGTTCGCGCCAGACAATCACCCCAGTACCTTGACCGTGACCACGCCCCGTAAAGGCACGACATAGACCCGCTTCGTCATATGTATCAACGCTTCGTTCAAGTATGTTATCGCGGAGTTGAGCTACTGGGAGTAGATCTATCCAGGGATGGTGCTCTGTGCGATATTGAAGACTGGTCGGCCGAAGACCATGAGGCAAAGTTTCCGTGTTGATATTCACGCTGACGGGCCAAGGCCCAGCAACAACGAATAGTGAGCAGGCATCATCGTGCATGTGATCAGCAGAGAGGCCAAAGACCTCTGCATTTAGCATCAATGCCCGAGAAAAGTTGAACTGAGATAGGCTAGAGAGCATGTTGGACCTAATGATCCCAGTTCTTCTGTCGTGGCTCGCAATTGTTTCGAATACACGAATTATGGCGTGATTGTCCCAAGAATGCAACTGAAGTATGCTAATTTTGTCTACAAGCATCTTGAGATCTAATTCGTGGTTCAGGACAGCGGTGATCAAGACCCGGATGGAGGGAATGGATGTAGCATTGCGGTGGGGGACCGTGGGTACGGCAGTCGAGGGCCCGAGAGTACAAGGCGAAGGCTTGTGTCGTTGACGAGCACCTACGAGGAAAGTGTTAACACTGCTAGATACCTCGAGGAGGAGAACGTTGGTAGATGACGAGCTTACGGTGCGACCGCTGATTGATGCGATTCTGAATCTTCTTCCGTTTTGCCGAGTCGGCTACACCGGACCAATTATCCTTATCGCCGATGATAGCGGATCGTAGAAGAAGCTGATGATGAAGGTTGGTGGGTTCAGACATCATTGCTTGAAGTGGTAGAGAGATATGGAGTAGTACTGTCCAAGGTTGCGTTCAAGTCGAAGCAAGTGTGCGGTTATATGCTGGAGGATGACACTTGCGTCAAACAGGGGAGTGACTAGGTTAAGAGAATTCAAGCCGATAAAGCGCTTAACCGTAAGTAGTAATCCCCAATGGAGATCTATGCACCTGTCACCAACTTGCATTAGTTTGAACGCTAGACATCCCAAGGTTTCGGCAAAGGCTCGTGCGAGAAAACGGCAATGCAGTCAGCGCTATAACCATTGTAGTACTGCATTGATGATCACGTCTGTAAAAGCTCCATGACGATGTCGCTTCGCCCAAAGCTCCTACCGCATCATGTGTATACTTCCATGGTGACGCAAGCAGCGTGTTTTTAGAGCTCGTCATCTCCTCAATAAGGACCCTTGGCAGGCGACCCTGAACGCGCGGCAAAAGTCGACCCCTGGCTGTATGGAGACATGATTCATATAAAACATGATGATGAATATCCTCTCAGGCTGTCTAGGATATTGTGGCATGTGCATGTCAGAAGCTTATCACTGCTAGCAGAAACAAAATGAAGTTCGCACACTTGTACCTAGTCGGCCAATTGTTCACGTCGACGAATGCTATTGGCTCGATGGTTCAGAATAGCAGATTGTCCCTCCGGCGAGACGGATCAAACTGCAAAAATGCCGTACGTGCTGAACCACAACGGTGCCAAGGTCCTCCAACTAACCGGGATAGTGTGCGATTTTAGCCTCCGAATTTCCAGGCAGATTCCATTACGACGACGATGATTCCGACTTTACAATCTGGGACCAGAAACAATTAGAGACCGCGTATGTCTGTCGCGTCCAACCTGCATCTGCCAACGAGGTTTCCAGAGTCTTACAAGTCCTCGTACACAATTGGTGCAGATTCGCGGTCAAATGCGGCGGCCACTCACGATTTCCGGACGACTCAGTCTCCGTCGATGGGGTTACTATCGACCTTGGCTTGATTAATAGTACCGTCATCTCAGGTGACAATAAAACAGCTCGTGTCGGCGGCGGGTCCCTCAGTCGCCAGGTTTTTGCCGCTCTTGATCCGTATGGTCTGGCATACGTTGGTGGAAGAGTTGGGCAAGTTGGCATTGGGGGGTTTACTCTTGGAGGAGGTACCTCAGTGCTGGCTGGAAAGTATGGATGGGCACTGGATCATGTCCTTGAGTACGAGGTGAGAGAATCTGTTGCTTTGCTTGTGAAGACGTGAAAGCGCTGACCCCAGAAAGGTTGTTCTTGCCAATGCTACAATTGTGACGGCATCACAAGATTTGCATCCGGATTTATACTATGCTCTTCGAGGCGGTGGTAACAATTACGGCATCGTGACATCGTTAAATATCAGTGTCTTTCCCCAGGGTCCTGTGTATACCGGTTCGCGTACCTTTGGCGATGGTCAGACGGATCGAGTGCTTGAAGAGGCCGAGAAAGTCTTCGCAGTCCAAGACTCTGAAGATACCGCCGTAGGTCTGGAGTACCGGTATACATACACTGTGCAAAGTGGCTGGAGCATTTCAACCACCCAAAGATACGCGAAGCCAATACTGTACCCTTCGGTATTTGATAGTCTCAACAGCATCCCAGCATTGGGAAATCTCACCGGCGGTATCAACAGTCTTGCCAATAGCACGAGTTCGCAAGGAGAATTGGGGATAACACGGTAAGAGAGCTACATTATCTTGTTGTATCTGGCGGCTAAAGACAAAACAACAGGAACGTGTTCACCACTTTGACGCACTACCCATCCATAGACTTGAGCAAGAAGGGCCATGCTATCCTTAAGGGCCTTGTGGAGGGAAGAAATTTGACTAGTTTGAATCCACAGCTAATCACATATTCCATACCTGCCGCGACAATGGCAATGTCCAAGGCAAGAGGTGGCAACGCTTTCGGTCTTGACGTCGAAGGTCATCTTATTCGTAAGCCGTTACCCCCTACCCTTGGTCTACTGCAGATCGTCACCTTGTAGTGAAGCGAATATGAGTTGATGTTAAATTAGTCAATCTCTTGTCTTTGAGCTGGACTGATAGCGCAATGGACAATGCCGCGTATGCTTTGGCAAATGACTTTATTGCAGACTTTCAAAAGGCTGCGGAGAGTCTCGACTCCTTTCACCCATTCGTCTACATCAATTATGCGAACAAGGGACAAGACGTCTTCGCGAGTTACGGCAAGGACAATCACAGGAGATTGATTGAAGTGCAGCAGGCGTTGGACCCAAAGGGTGTATTTACAACTTCGGGGCTCTGGACTGGCTTTTTCAAGGTACGATGATCCGCTATACCTGTACGTAAACAACTCATGTAGTCCCCGGCCTAAATCGTTGGGCAGCGCAATTGGAAATAACTACATTTATTGGATCCTGGGAGGACTCGAAAAACAACAAAGACCGCAATGAAGACATGCATAGAATAGTCTATTTAGATAAGAATACCATGTTTACTGGCCACTGAACTGTGAAAGATAACCTCAGTTAAAGAAGTATACGTCGGTCGATTCTCATTCCATACCCAAGACAAGTCTTCCACCTGTGGCATATAGAAACGTCCTATAAGCTCTACAAAAGGTGATTATCATAGCTAAGGCATCAGAATTTATTGTAGACCCGTACAAGCAATTTGGAATGCGGATTACTCCGGGGCTTACGCCGGTCTTAGCCTCATTAGTGTGAATAACAACAACAACCTTTACTGATTGTATTGCTGTTCTGCCGAATGCGGTAACTAGGTTCACGGCTCGACGAAACAACTCGAATTCAGATAACTGTAGCAGAGGGCCGGGCAAGGAGAATTAAGCGGCAGGCACAAGTCTTAGCAATTTTCATAACAATGAATAGCATATAACGTTTTATTAATAGGTAGTGAGTTGAGTTCTATGTAGTGCTAGCCCAAATTGCACATCTCTGTCCGGCTGCATCGTAATCCTACCCGGTTCTTCAACCAACTGTCACAATCACTTTTCCAACGTGCTGGTTTCTCTCAAGATAGCGATGCGCTTCGGCAATATCGTGAAACGAAAAGGTTTTGTCGATAACAGGCCTCAACACGCCCTCGGAGATAACTCTTAGCACAAAATTCACCATCTTGGCGCGCTTCTTTGGGTTCGATAAAGTTTGAAAAACAGCTGAAAACTTAATAGTGGCAAACTTGGCCATCCCCTTCAGCGGGTCTATTAAAGCTGGTGACAGGTCTAAGACGCCATAAATAAGGAGAATACCGTTGATGACAAGTGCATCGAGCAGCTTGTTGATATTCTCTCCAGCAATCGGGTCATAGATGACGCGGCAGCCGATGCCGTCCGTGATACGTGCCACTTCCGTCGCTATATCCTGTTCGCTGGCGACGATGACATGCCCAATCCCAATTGACTTGAGTGCCGCAACCTTGGACCGACTCCTAGTCGTACAGATTGTAATGGCCCCCTGCGATTGCCATGGACGACGTTGCCGCTGTCAATAGCACGTATTCGCCCTTTTGTAGCTTAGCAGTATCAAGCATGGCATTCCAGTCCGTGCTGTACTGCATCCATAACGCGACCCCATCAATAAATGATATGTCGTTGGGCATCTTGACCACTATATCCGCCGGCACGTAGGCTTGTTCGCCGTATACCGCGCATTCATGACCCTTCATCTCTGTGGCAAATCCAGGAACGCTCGTGAAGCCCGGGATCGTCGCTACATGATCCCCGGTGCAGAGGCCTTTGATACCCTCACCGACTGCAAGAACTGTTCCAGCACATTCCGACCCCAGCATAGCAGGGAACTCCTTTGGGGGACGAAACCGCCAGCGCGGAAAAAGACTTCCATGCCGTTTATCCCAATGGCCTTGACCTTCAACAGAAGCTCGCCATAACCCTCAAGAGTAATCTCATCGAACTGTAGGACCTCTGGCCCGCCCAATCTATGGAATCTCGCTACCTTCGGTATCTCTGGTTTCGTGGTTTGGCAAGTGGAAGGTGGGTTGTGTAGTCAGGCAGTGCAAGATGTGGAGTATGCTATGCAAGAAAATAGCAGCTCGTATGAGTGTGGAAGGGAATGGGTGGTGGTCGGCCAAAATAAAAGCATAGGGTATGTAAAACGGAGGTTTATATGCAAAAGCTTATGATACTTAAGAAGACTCATGCTCACAAGGGTTCGAAACCAAACGATGGAATAATGACTGGTAAGAAACATTGCTTATCAACCCATAAGGTCCAGAAAGGGGCAATGGTGCGATTTTCTCAGGTCAGCAGTGTATTAGCTCGAGGTTCATGTCTTGGGCTAATCCAGAACTCTCTAGTCCAAAACACACAGCAGACGAGCTATCGTCAGCTGCTAAGTCCGGTCAAGGATATACATGAACTAAGTTCGCAAGACAACTCCGCGACTCGACTAACATCTAGCGAACTCTGCTATTGAGTTATTTTCCGCTCTCCATTCTTTTACTGCACAGGCGTCCAGAACGCTCGGAGCAAGATTCATAACCCATCGATTGCTGGCGGTAACTCATGGACGGCGCTAATGCAGTCTGCTTATCTTTTAAATTGAAGACTCCATACATAGTTCCCCAATTCGGAAACTCCTTGCCGTATGGAAGCAATCTACTTGGTAGCCGAAAACAGAAATTGGACACTCTACTTGAAATCCACAAAGCAATGCATGTTTGTCCATTAACTCCGGTGTTTCTTGGTCTGACTCTGAACTAAGTTTGCGGAGTTTTGAATGTGAGTAGGGTTGGTTGGTAATCTCGGTATCTACGTATATGGGGCTTCATCAAGTTGGTCGAGAGCGAGACATATATTACAACACAGCATGTCGCTACAGAGATGGGTTACTTTATTGACTTATTCCTTCGATATAAACTCAATCTTTATCGTTTCTCTCATCAAATATGAAAGTTGCAATTATCGGCGCAACTGGCCAAACCGGGTCGGTGATTGTGCAGGCCTTGCTGGAATCCACTGCATGGACGTTTGTAAGCCCGCCTCGTGAGAAATAACTGCCTGCCACAGTGCTGACCCTTCTATCTCTTCTGTGCTTTTAGGAGGTTGTCGCCCTAACCAGACCGTCATCTCTTCAGAAGCCGGGCATACTTGAGCTGCAGGAGCAAGGTGTCAAAGTTATTTCTACTGATTTGAGTGGCTCGGAGTCAGTCTTGACTGAGATTCTTATTGGGACAGATGTTGTAATCTCTACAATCTACGGCGGAAGCGTTATGGACGAGGTTCCTTTGATCAATGCGTCTAAAGCTGCAGGTGTGAAGCGGTACCTACCTTGTTTCTTCGCCACAGTGGCTTCCCCTAAAGGGGCGCTTTTGTTGCGGGATATGGTAATTAATCATCCGAACGTCTTTACTAGAAGACGTGTAACTAACATAGTTCTTAGAAGGAAGATGTGTTAAACCACATAAAGAAGATACATCAACCGTTCACTGTTATCGATGTCGGCTGGTGGTATCAAGTTAACTTACCAAAGTTGCCATCAGGTCGTATTGACTATGCAGCAATGGAGACAGCAGATGGGATTGCTGGAGACGGCAATGTGCCATTTGCTTTGACCGATGTACGGGACATAGGCCGCTATGTGGCTCAAATAATCACTGATTCTCGGACCCTGAACCGAATGGTCTTCGCCTATAACGAGATCTGGACGCAGAATCAGATCTACGATTTGCTTGAGAAGCTTAGTGGGGAAAGACTAGATCGCAAATATGTGCGTAACCAGTTAGGTTTGGCAGAGTTAAGAAGTAACTGACTGATAATAGGTCCCTGCTGAGGCTATTGAGGCAAGCATAGCCAAGATCGAGTCAACTGCGCCTTGTCCAGATTCCGTGGAGTTTATCACACTGGCACAGTACCAGTATTGGTATTCTTGTTGTATTCGGGGAGACAATACGCCCGAGTATGCTACTTTCTTGGGATACCTCAATACTCAAGAGCTCTATCCTCATTTTGAGCGGAGAGGATTCAAGCCTTATGTACAGGAAGTCCTAGATGGAAATGGAGAGAGGGTTTACGAGCACCTGAAAGACCTGTCAGCTGCTAGTGTGGACAAGAAAGCGTGAAATACACCTACTATGGTGAGAGTCGCGGCTTGGGCACGAAGAAGACTTGGGTACTAGACTAGGGTCGCGGTCTAAGAGCTTGGGGGTGAAGAGAACACAACTCTTCTATGTTTTTACATCTCTCGGGCATCCAATTAAATTCTAACCTTTTTCAGCAACCACAAGTAGCTTTATTTAACTCGCTGATTTAACGCTAAAGCTTGCATAGGGCATAATTGCATTATTCTTCATAGGCCCTGGAAATAAAACAAATCATGAACAAGTGCTGGCAATTTGTATATGGGAAAAAAACCTTGAGGTCAGAACTTTGCAACATGATACGGAACACCTAATTTCCTCTGGCTTGGCTATGGCTCACAACTCCTCCGGCAGTTGGCTCAACTAAGGCTTTCTACCCCAAACAAAATAGACAGGGAGATACAGGTGAATAGCTGGGTCTCTTAGCTCATTCTTAACCTGTGCCATCAACACCTGAATCTCGTCTGCACTCCAACCAAGTGCGTACTCAAACAGTTTGGGCGTGTAGGAGTCGATGACCTTTGACTCTTGGATAGCCTGATACCGACCAAGTTCCTTAAGCTTTGGGTCTTTCGGCCAAGGTCCGATAGGCAACTATATTCAATACTCAGTAAAACAGGACAAACCCCGACTGAGAAGTTACATACCTTTCGGACTTCTTGCTGAACATCCACAAACCCTGCCTTAATCAACCTATCCTTCCATTTATCCGCACAGTCAACAGGCTTGCCAAACTTGGCACAAGCCTCGATTAGGTGCTTCATCCACAATTTGGCATTAGGCCCCTTATCGAGCGTTCCATCATCGGACTCAAAGCGCGCATCTACTCCCTGTAATTCGACATAGCCGTTTGAACGTATATGTCGGAAAGCTCGCTGTAGCATGAGATCCTCGTCACCTACACATGCTTCCAACTCGCGGGCGTGGATAAAGTCGAATTCTGTGCGGTATAACCACTCGTCCTCGTAGTCATCTACTTCAAAGGTGCAGTTTGGTGGGTTCCTAAGTTGTTAGCACAATGATACGCAACATGGCAGGTTTTTTCTAACCATTCTGGTTGGATGGGACTGAGATCATTTCCTATAACCTCTGCCGAGGGATGCTCGCTATCGCCAAGCATGTTAGCGGGCTAATACCCTGAGGCTCATGTTTTCACTCACTCTGCAAAATCTATCGCCCAGATACCAGTCCCTGTGCCGAGGTCGAGTACACGTTGAGGATTCTCGTCAATTGGGGCAAGGTGGAGCTTTCCGTCAAGAAGGATACTATATACGTGATGAACGAGGTCCATACGATCTTGCTCGTCTTCATCGTTGGGCTAAGATATGACTGAGTAAAGGTATCAAGAAGTGGTGCTCTGACACATACCACGGGATAAGTGCCTTCTCGGAATGCATGATATCGACGTCCATTCTATCTGCTGTTAATAATGCACCGGGGTATATTCAGTGTAACTCACTTCGTATCTGTCAAACATGACAAAATGAGTGAGTCATGGTCATTAATAGTCATTCTTACGCGTATATCTCACCTATAATTGTATATGCTTGAATTCAGGGACGACAAAAAACTCGAACCTCCGATCCTGCCATCCGTGTCATTAAGCCAGAAACAAATAATCAAGAGCAGCTGACTAACGTCGAATGATAAAGCGAATCATTGGCATCCAAGTTATCCTGAGAAACGGGTTAGCATGCAACAAGGCATCATGGTCGTAGCGAAGCATCAACGACTCACATCAACTTCCAAATGGCCCTCTGGCTGAGTGGTAGCCGTCGCGGCAGGGTCTTGCGGAGAGTTATCAGCCATAGTAAGTAATTTCGTTACTGTAATACGTTCAAACGAACAAAGAGAGACCTCGAAGCTCTTGTGCTGTTGACAAATGAGGGGTCTGTAGATCATATATTCACGCGGCCCCGCTCGAGGACCCTTGATTGAGCGAATTATGTACTTAGCACAACCGCATATGCCGTTGAAGCCTATCGGAGGTTTCCCCGCGATAATGTGGGAACGCGTCACCACTTCTAATGCCGAGGTGAAGAAATATTCCTTGCACAATTGATCTAATGAGGCAGCTCGTTACAGAACATGCAGGTCGTCCAACTAGGAGCTCTGGATTAGCTGTCATGCGAAACTCTAAAAACTGGGGGTATATACATCTCTACCAATCAGACAAGTCCTTTGACTCATTATCGCATCAGCAACTTGTGCTTCCAGTCGATTATCAAGCTACTCTGATTCGCATCGGTACTAGTTATACGGGCTCAGACGATGTTTGCATGAAGCTGATGCGAAGATGTAAAGTGGTGGATTTCCTATAGTGATGTTGTAGACTGCACAGATTTTGCCATCTTTTTACTGTCGCGGTTGCACAACACCAAAATCGTTTCCGCGGGTGCCATGCAAGCTTCGATGTGCCGTCGATGCCTCTGTCTTGCTTGCGAATATTTCAGGGAAAAGCAATCTAATAGAGGGTAATTGAGGTCGAAGAGCCAGAGGCATTCGTTGTTCTAGTGGACGCCGAAGCCTTTGTATGTGGCCGCTCGTTTCACCGTCTCCTGTCTGAGCCGCCGCATTTCTTGGCAGACCGCAGCGGTGCGGGACAATAGCTCGACTAATACCCTGCTTGGGGAAGTAGCCTGATGAGCCTCCCTGCGGCTGGGTTCTCCAATGACCCTGGAAGCGCCATGTGGACATCGTCTGTAAGTGCCCATGGTTTGGTCTCGATCTTCGGTGGCCGAGTACTGCAGATGAACCCCGTGTCTTCCGGGCCCGATGCTCGGCGCGTCCGACCGAGGCTGAAGGAGACTCCGGCGCCGCCGACAAGCCACTAGGAGTGGGCACGAACGGTCTTGATTGTTGATATCCCTGATCGTGTTGTCCCTGTCCTTTCATGACCCCCTGAAACGGTTGTTATTTTGAATGCAGATTCACGCCAGGAGCGGCAGTCGTCGATTGTAAGACAGCGGGATCGACACACACGCTCGAGGGAGGTATCAGCCCGTGTTGCTGCTCCATAGCGTTGCTAAAAGGTCTTAGCCACTGGTTCCCCTCCGGCTGAGCCATAACCTGAGGTCTCAGAGGGTAGAGCGGATAAGTTCCGGGATGCATGGAAGTGTTAGGTACTATCATCGTGTAGAGCCTTCCAACAAAAGGGATTTTATTGTAAGTTGACGAGAAAGGTCAGGAGGAAGTGATACAGTTAGTGGCAGTGTGTATGTGCAAGCACAGCCGTATGACAGCCAGACAGTTTCTTTGGGATATCGATGAATGGCCGAGTTATCCTACAGTGTAACCTGATAGAACAACCTGCACATATGTAAGCACTTGACTTCAACATGGTATCTACAGGAGAAGGAAATGCAGAGGCGTATTTTGGACGATAGCGAGACCGTAAACGTGGGCACGCTCCATCCATGCAAAAGATACGGCTGCTATATTCTGCACGCTGCTTTCTCAGAACAGACAATTTTGGATTTTGGGAGCAAACACTTTTTACAGATAAACTGCCGGCTCCAAGCACGTTTTGTCGACCGATCGACTATGGCAGTTCTTGTTTGTTCTCACTTCCCTCATATACCGGCAGTTTTAGGACTACATGCTATCGTGCCAGTCCGTTGCGCATGATGAGGGCTGATGGAAGCGACGGTCCACTTACCCAATCCGATTTCTGGCACGACCATACTCACAGATCCTTGTCACATCTCACACCCGGAGGTCTGAGAGGCTTCGTTCTGAAACTGGGTAGCAAATTGTGGCATACTATTCATCGAATGATTCTAAGCAGTATTCCTGTCTTTCGTGTCGAGACTGCGATTGCACTTAGAGACTATAGTCGGCCAGTGAGGTGGCAGCCTCAACTATCCCACCACGACCAGCGGTGCCATCTCTTGTTGGCACTTCGTTGCACTAGCATTGTTACCAGACAGCTCAACGAGAATTCTTACGGTCTCATTGCCGAACATCGCTCCTTCGAGACGACTATATATTCTATCCTCAGACTAGCCCTTTGCCATGACGAGAGTACAGACAAAGACGAGCGTGCAGCACATGTCTATCCGGGCGATGCGTGAGGCAACAATCAGCAGAATCAGCAGGCAGTCTGACCCGAGTTTCGAACGCACCCAATGGTTGAGTTCATGGATGTTTAGACGGAACGATAGTCCTGTCAACATTATTTTCTGCATCCTCTCGACATTAGCCTTGGGCAGGTCCAACCTGATCTAGTCGATCAGATCATCCCAGCGCCGCAGTAACCCTTTGACGTGGCTGGAGTACAGCCTGGCAAACCTGGCCTGGGTCAACGTGCAATCTATAACCACGAGCTTGATGCTCATCAGCTTGTTGACGGCTGAGTATTCCAGCTTTGGGTGGAGTTGCTTCACTTCTTGTAGAATCTCTATCATCGCCGAATTAGACACCATCAAACGGGGGCGACAAGTACAACGTGAATAGAAACCAAGTGCAATTTAAAAGTCCTCCTCATACTCGAAACAAACCCATCCTGAGCTGGCGTTGTTGTGAAATTGCTAATCTGTAACACCGCAGTCTTGTAACCGGTAACTTATGAGCTCTCGTGCACAGCCAAAGGGGATCTGGTAGGTTGTAAGTGATTTGAGTCACCCATGACTGAGGAAAGTTATAGAAATCGCTCTTAGAAGTCTTTTGCATTATATATGGGAATGTAGTAGCGTTCACTACTACGACCAGCCAGGACATCAATAAGATGCGTTCAGTAATATCACTACATTCTAATCCACTTCCTAGTGAATTTACCCCATTATACACTGTAGATGCCTACCGCGTACTCCACAGAACGCCGTGGGGCGTTTAGTCTCACTCCTAGGAATCCCTTTTTGCACGTCTCATTTGGGCCCATGCCAACATTTCTGACCAGACCTGTTGCACCTCTCCATCCACCCTTTTCCAGAACTGCCGTGCTAAATTTAGCTCTGATATGGCTTCTCAGAATCTCCTTGACTGTCAAGTGGCCTGAGCTGACTAACGCACTTACTTCTCCAAATCCCTTCAACTTATTATTCGACTGTGAGGGAAAATTTGCGATACGTGTTGCTATTGCCTAAATCCTGCAAAATATCCTAAACCACGAAACTGATGGCATTATGAGCTCGTAAATACCTTTGCAGCTAGGTCAAAAAGAGGCTTATAATGTATATGATAATGTTAGCAAGATCACAGAAGACAACAGTTGCCGTGAGCAGCCGGATGACTCAACCTGTCGCCCCGTGCGACGTTCAGTCACTGTAACAGGCACCTAGCAGTTACGACACAGGGCAAACGATTGGGCCTTGATCGCATTTGTGGCAATCAAGTAGGTGCAGCAGCTGCCTTATGCCGACCGCTTACGGGGCTAAGCCCGTAACGCCCCACATATCCCCAGAAGATGAGAAGTGTAACAATTTCACGCCTCTCACTACGCGTGGGACATGGAAATCCGAAATTATGATAGACTTTGCACCAGTATCTAGTCTGCCTCCCTCAGCCTCCTGTGTCTTGTGCCCCTGTTTCTCGTGATGACCTCCAACGGCAGCCTTTCCTTCCTAGCCCGAGGCTGCCCCTGCTTGAAACCCTTACAAGCAAGACAATCTGATACAATTTTGCGATTCCTATAATTAATCTCCCTGTTGAAGTGATTAGCCCACTTTTCCGCCTTCTCAAGCTCGTCTTCTTCCCCCTAATCGATATACCTGCCGACCTTGCTTATAGAATAATACATGTTAAAGGGGGCGTTATAGACGCACTCTTGCTACTGCCTTTGGTCCGTAGTCTTCTTCCAATAAGGCTACAGCCATAATGCCTTCAACTATAAAAAGAATCTATTAGCAAGGACCACATCGAGAAGAAAGGTTTAATCTAAAGCCTGCTAAGTGCCACAGAAAAGGCAGTAATTATAGTTCATATACGTGCTTAACTAATTGCCTCGGTTAATATGATTTATTTTATTATTATAAGCCGCAGTAACTGTCGGGATAGGAATGACCTTAGAATCTTCGTTACTAAAATGCTTATGTATTGGCTTGGCTCGTGAGTGTGTTATGAATGGTTGTTACTTATACTCAAGGCATTGTCTAGCAATGTATTAATTCATACTTGATTGATAAATAGGTAAACAACGCTTTAACCCCCATTGCTGGCCTATCTGCAAAACTCCGGTATATACAACTCCTTTCGTAATCTGTAGAAGCTTGGTATGTGTCTATAAGAGTTTATTCTGCCTTCTTGGATGTCTTGGTTCGGAGCTTCATTAACACGTAGACCAGAGCGTATGAGCTGATGGCAAAGATGACCACAACCGCTGCATCTCTCCATCCGTAATAGTACTCCTTTAAGTTGAGAGTTCTAAGGTAGTCTTCGCCCTTTGTGTATAAACACACTTTGCATTCCGATGTATCATCGGGGTTAATGAGGTCGCTGACCGCTCCCATACTCTGTGTCAGATAATCGGATAGATACTCGCCGCAGGTAGCTCCACTGGGAGGATCGAAACGGGCAAATTCCTTGTCATCACACCTAATCTCAGTGTCCCAAATATCAAAAACTAGCATACTTCCCATAATGTAATTAAAGGGGTTCAACCAATAAATCCAATAACGCCAGAATTTCTGAATCTGCTGGTACGGAACCAAGACGCCGCAGAAGGAGACGAGGATACCAATAATAAGAGGGTTAACTAATGATGCGAAAACCTCGTTAGGTGCGTAGGCTGCGATAAACTGACCAATGCCGGTGTAGATAAACTCGTACATAAGCATGACGAAGAAGGTCCCTCCAGCACGGCTAGAGCTATTAGGGAAGCCAACTGTATAGTACCAGCAGATATAATAGAAAACTGCGCAGATCATTAAGTAAGGGATCTCTGATATAATAAGCCCAGTGACAAATGCAACCCATAAGTACATCTTGGACTTTTTCTCGCGAGCTTCAAAGATATCCCGACGATGGATAAATAAAGGTTGAAGTTGGGCTAATACACCTGGCGCGACAAAGATAAAGTTGAAGATTGTGAACAGTTTAAGCTAGAGGTCGCCAACCGAGTTTCCGATTTGCCAGAAGGTGAAGCCGTTAAATAGAGCCGAGATGATATGCAGTATGAATTTGTTGTTAATATAGTCGGTATTTCGATAAAGCGATTTACTCATGCGGTATGTCACGAGCTTAATCTGCTCCAATATGCTTGTAGCAAACTCATGCCCGTCATCAACAGCACCAGGCGGCTTGCCGGCGGCCTCTTCAATAAGGCGATCTAGCTCCTTACTAACGACTGCATGCTCAGGAGATTCGAGCCAGACCTGGTTCCAGTTCTTATCTTGCGAAAGATGTCCAGAAACAACATCGATCATATGCTCAGCAGGGTTAACATCCTCAGGGCAGGGAGCGCCATATCGGCCAAAGTAGGCTTTTACGGTTTTGGCCTGCTGACCAATATCACCAAAATAGACCGTCTTGCCACCTTTAGTAAGGAGGAGTAGCGTATCAAACTGAGAGAAGAGCTGGGCAGAAGGTTGATGAATAGTGACAAGAACAGCCTGGCCGACGGCTGCAAGTTTGCATAAGAACCGAACGGTATTAAATGCAGATTGTCCATCTAGACCAGAAGTTGGCTCATCAAGGAAAATCAGGAGGCTAGGCTTAGAGACAAGCTCAACGCCAATAGTAACACGCTTGCGCTGCTCAACATTCAGGCCTACACCAATATCACCAATCAAGGTATCAGTAAGATCATATAGTTCGAGCAGGTCGATAATTGTATCGACATATTTGAGCTTCTCGTCACGGGGCGTATTGCGGCTTTGTCGAAGAAGGGCAGAGAACTCGAGGGCTTCGCGAACAGTGGCGAAGGGCTCATGGACATCCAGCTGCTCACAATAACCTGCTAATCTTTAGAACGACAATGGCAATGGTCGTCCGTCCACCATGATTAAACCATGAATAGTACCTTCGGTCTTACGCTGAGCTAAGACATCAAGGAGAGTCGTCTTGCCAGCACCAGATGATCCCATCAGGGCACCTAGCATGCCAGGCTTCACCCATCCCTGAACATTGTCCAGTAGGACCCGGTTGCCAGATGGAGTTTTAACTGTATAGGTAAGGTTCTTCCAAGTGAAGATGGAGGTGTTACGTGAAAGGTTCATGCCGTCTGAAATGTTCGGATCATCTTCGGCCAAGACTCCGTCGCCACGGCGAGAGATGGCGTCCTCTTTCTCGCCCACCTGGTTCTCCTCGTCCTTCTGGCAAAGGACGGTAGTGACGGGGGCGTTTTCGCGTGGCATACGAAGACTGGGCCTATCCTCAGAAGAGCTATGCCACTTCGAGGTTGCAATGACCGTGATCACCACAAGCAGAATCCACCAGGCCCATATGATACCAAAGTTTCGCCAGATATGCGAGTGGCTGTATGAAAGTGACGCAAGATAATCATCTCCATTCACATATGGTTGGCCGGGTCTGGCTCCACCAACACCAGTACAAGCCTGAGGGTCACTATTCGTATAACCAGGCCCGCTGGGAATCAGATTGGGACCGACACAGGGGATAAGCTTGTTATGGACAAAAGCGCATCGAAACCATATGCCAGGGGGTTAATCCAGAAGATCCAAACAAACCACGGATGCATCTGCGGTTTCGGGATTAAGTAGCCCGAGTAAATAATAGTAGCAGAGATCAAGAATCCCGATACCTTGGAGGCTCCATCAAAAGTAGTGAAAGTCGCGCCAACAGCCCTAAAGAGCGCAGTCGTACAGAAAGTCATAGCAAGGATCAGGGCCCAGAATGTGAAGAAGGCCCCAGCAGTCGAGGTCAAACCGACCATAAAGTAGAGGATGAGCGAAAAAACGGAGACCTGAAAGAGAATGACAGGAATGTCTGCAGTAACCTGGGCAATGCAGAATGCGGCAGGGTGGTAAAAGGCAAAGGATTTGTGCTTTAATAGGACAGGGCGGCCAGTGAAGGAGTCGGTAACCTCGGACATGGACAATAGAGAGTTGAAGAGGATTGCGAAGAAGCAAGCTCCTGACTTGATAAAAAGGCCACTTGAGTCGTCGGATGCGTTATAAAATAGCGATCCAGCGATCAAGGCTTGGATGATGGTTGATACCTGCTTGATACTGAAGGTAGCCTTATCTCCGAGCAGAATCTGATACTGTCGTGCCACACAAGCCTTGGCTTGTTGAACGAAACCAACAGTCAGTGCACTTCTAAGGGGAAGACTTTTATCCTTCTCTTGCTGTACGCTTTCTTTGAAAAGTCGCGTCTTCTCCCTTGCCAGATCGGTGGTGGGGTAATCGTACTCAGCGATCATACGCTCATAGATAGGCGTCTCTTCGTACTTGGATCGAAGGGCATCCGCTGTCCGGGGGAACCGACTTTCCATCTCCGGACGAACACATCGCTCGGTGGGGACAGTCACGCCCGTCAAATAGTCAGCGACATTTGCGCCGTCGTGACAAATAAAGCCTAGTCCTTCCATGAAGGGCCTGGCTTCCTTTATTGGACCATAGTAGACTTCTTTACCCTCATCGAGGACAAGAACTTTGTCGAAGAGGTTATAGATATTATTGCCTGCCTGGTAGAGAGTAACGATAGAGGCAAGACCAAGGACATCTGTTAAAGCCCGGATGGCCTTTGCCCATTCAAGGGCTCTGTGTAAATGTCAGTGATATAAATGACTAAAATGATTAGAACAACTTACGTGCTCGCATCCAGACCTCGAGTAGAGTTATCCCAGCAGAAAACTGAGCCTCGGGTAGCCAAGCACTCAATAATAGAGACTCGTTTCCGCTCACCACCAGAAACGCCGCGGATAAAAGCATTGCCAACCTTGGTATCACGGGTATGGTCAATGCCCATCGACTGCAACAAGAAGTCCCTTGTCTCAGTTCGCAACTGTTCCTTATTGGCCACAACTTGGGGAAGGCAGAAAGGCAGCTTTTGGCGGGTTGCGAAATCCATAGTTTGCGCAACAGTGAGGGATGGGAAAAACAACTCTTCTTCTGTGTTCATGACGATCTGGCCACGGTACCGTTGGGCTTCAGTTGCTGTCATGGACCCGTAGTGGATATCACCAGAGACACTGGCATATCCCTGACGCTTGTTGCTGATCATATTAAGCAGAGTTGTGCATCCAGAGCCAGGGCGGCCAAGGACGAGGAGCATCTCTCCGGGCTTGACACATCCGTGGGCGTTGTTTATGATGGTCTTTAAGGGTGGCTTATGTCGAGCCTCCTTGATTGACATCGGAACATTGAACTGAGAAAGCATGTTTTCGTGAATTGCAGCATCGGCGCTGACGACTTGGACGTTTAGGTCCCGCCAAGTCACTCCCAACTCACGATCAGGGGAGCCAGAGGCCCTATCTCGTTCCTTGAAGGCAGTCACTTTCGGCTTCAGGGACCATTCCATACCTTCAGTAACAAGGGAATTGACAGGCTTGTCGCATATTGTCTGGGCTAAGCTTCTGTCGGAATCCATGGTGAAGATTTATTTGATTGATTGTTCCTCGGACTGGCTTAAGAGATGAATTAGAAAATCGATACAGACGTCGGGTCAGCAAGTGATGAGGTCCTAGGAAGTGCCCTTATATAACACCGAGATTCCATTTTCACAAATACTATACATGCCGGAAAGCAGCAAAACTAACATGAAGGATAGCGGCGTTTGTCGTGAGCCCAATTAGAAGCTCCAACCTCTCGAATCGACAAAGAAGCAAGCCGATCTGATAGCGACTTATTGGCAGATTCATGAGAGTCTAACTTGGCATTCCGGGTTCGGTCATCGCTTGTGCCGCTGAGTCATACGTCCCAATTGCGAAGGTTTCTGTGAATGTAGAACACTAGCGGGTCTCAATCTTTCTAAGAAAACATGGAAATGCTAGATGATTAGTGAATGGGCGCGAAAAGCCGATCATGTTGGAAATCTCGGTCAAATTTCACGGCGCAATAGACAGAAGTAGAGCGCGGTTGGAGGAAGCGAATGCCAGTGACATAGTTGGCGACCTTTATTTGTTGACAGAATGAAAACAAACAAACGCCAGGATCTTTATCATCTCGGAGCATGTCAACTAGCTTAGAAAGAAATAAGCTGATTGTTCATGCCGCTGACTAAGCGGGTTAGTTTACAAGTTTATGGCCTCTAACTTCGCTCTGTGTGAGGAAGGACTCGATATCCTCGATCATAACTTTCCATATGGAGAATCGTGGCTGTGGCTCTGTCTGGAGGGTGGAAGCTTTCTTAGTGGTATTAGAGCCTTTCAGTTCGCCCCACATTTCCCGTTTATTGGGTAAAAAACGGGGACTCATACCCGCACAACCGGCTGTGCGTTTAGTATCACGTGTTTTTCGCATAACCGGTTATACAGATAAGGCCACGTAAGCTTCTTTAGTTAAATCTACATAACTAGGGGACTATCAGTTAATTCATCTTCCTATTATATTTATATTATTAATAAAGTAATTACTAACTTTCTGCTTTATAATTTAACTTTATCTATATAATTAGTATTTAAATAAGTAATATTAAGCTCTTAGTCCCTTCTACTGCTAATAAATTAGCAAGATAGTAGCCTAATAATATTCTTCCCCCAGAGGCATTATATCTATTATAAGAAGCCCTCCTTATAGATATTAATAAGTAGGCAAAGGCTTAAGGATATACCTTTATAATAAGGCATATAATATATATAGCAAATAGAAGACTATATATATACTTTAGCTATAACTGCAATAGAGGTAAATATATACTAATTCCTAATTCTAAGAGGAAGAAAAAGTATATTACTTAATGCATAAGGTATAAGTTCTCTATAATAGGAAAAAAGAGCCTCTATAAGAGTAAATAAAGTCTTTAATATTATCCTAATCCCTCCTATTCTTATTATAATTATAAGCCTACTATTAGAAGTAATATTATATATATAACTTACTAAAAGCTCTCTAATAAAGATATCCTTATAATTAAAAAGCTTACTCTTACTAGCATTAAATAATACTAAATTAAGACCTACCTACTATAGAATATAAAGGTATTATTTATTAACTTAGATCTCGCAAATTATATCTCTTAAGTAAAGCAAGACCTTACTAATAGACAGAGCTATATAATTACTTTGCTTTAATATCTCAATTTACAGGGCTTCTAGAGTCATTACCTTATTAAAAAAGACTCTTAACTACAGTTAGTTATATTTACTTATCTAAAATCACTCTAATTTACTAGGTTATATCCTAAGGTACTTATAATTAACTATACCTATAAGACTAATAAGTATAAGATGCCTCTCCTTAATATAGTTAGTATTAATACTACAGGAAGCACCTTTTATATTATATTTATATATCTTAATAGCAAGGAAGAGGAGGACTTTACCTAGGCTCTTAGGGCATTATAAGATTTATATAATACTAATAATATTCCTTATCCTTTAGTTATACTAACTAATTAATATCTTACTTATATAAATGCCATTATATCCCTTCTCTGCTTTCTAGTATTAAAGGTTATACTTTACCTTTAGTATATTAATAAAATAATCCTAACCTTCTATATAAGTAGCTTTATAAAGGGCAAGGATAATAAAGAGGGATAAGAGGTATAAAAGGAATTTTATAATAGTTAATATATACTTATAGCCTTAAAGTCATAGGCTATATATAATAAGAGACTAAAGGTCTTTCTGCTTTAGTATACTTATTTATATCTAAAGGAAGTAAATTACCTTTTTTTAACCTAGCTAAACCCCTATAAGGGTAAGTTTATTAAGGCATTTATAAATAAGTATCTATATTTAAACTAATTTGTTATATCTTAAGTAAAAGGTATTTATTCCCTACTTAAGTCTTATCTAAAAAGCTCTAAGGCTAACCTCTTTAAGGCTTTCTAAATCATTAAGCTGGTAATTATAAACTAGCTAATTATACTAAAATCTACATAGGCTCTTAAATAAGTAATAAGACCTACTTAGTGCGCTTAGATATTATTAGAAGCTCTATATAGCTAAGTCTGCGGTTAGATATCTTATAAGGCATTAATTATAGTTAATCTGCAGTAAGAATAAATAGGAGAGAGTCTCCCTTAATATACTAGGAGTTTCTTAAAGACTATAGGTATACCTTATACTTATGCCTTTATGCTATTAATCCAGGGAAATAAGCCCTTATTAATAAGCTATTTTTATTTATATTAATATCTCTAGTAATCTAAGATACTACTACTAATATTTAAGCCCTATAAGGTTAATAATTACTATATAGCCTTAAAGTTATAGCCAGTATTAAATATATAGTGAGATTTATATATATTTAAAGGAGTTAAAAAGGCACTACTTCCCTTAGTGCCTAGGAAGTTATAGACCTACTCTTAATATTATAAGTAAGGTTATAATAGAAACTTAAGGCTATACCCTAAGAAGTATATTAAAATAGTAGCAGAGCTTAATAATATAAAGAGAGAATAAGATCTTTGTTACGACCCTAGCGGTTACGTCACGTGTACCCCACAAAAACTCATGCAAGGCATCAACCCCTCA